ACTATAAAACACTGTTTAAAGAAACTAAGAAAACATAAATAAATGGAAAGATATCTTGTGTTGATAATCAATATTATTACAATATTCATACTGCCCAAATCGATCTACAGATTCAATGTAGTCCCTATCAAAATTCCAATATCATTTCTTATAGAAATAAAACAATCCTTAAATTCATATGCAACCATAAAAGATCCTGACTAGCCAAAACAATCTTGAGCAAAAAGAACAAAGCTAAAGGCATCACAGTCCCTGATTTCAAAATATATTGTAAAGCTAATATAATCAAGACAGTATGGTGCTGGCATAAAAATAGACACATTAACTAATGGACCAGGAGAGAAAAAACCCAGAAATAGATCCATGCATTAATAGTCAATTGATTTTTGACAAAGGTGTTAATAATACATAATGGGAAAAAGACAGTCTCTTCAATAAACTACTAGGAAAATTGGATTCACATACAGAAGAATAAAATTGGATCCTTATCTCAAGTATAACCATCAACTCAAAATGGATTAAAGACTTAAATGTAAGATCTGAGACTGTAAAACTACTATAAGAATACCTACAGGAAAAGCTCCATGACATTAATCTGGGCAATGGTCATTTAGCTGTAACCCCAAAAGCACAGGTAATAAGAGCAAAAATAGGCCAGGCACAATGGCTCACGCCTGCAGTCTCAACACTTTGGGAGGCCAAGGTGGGTGGATTGCCTGAGGTCAGGAGTTCAACATCAGCCTGGCCAACATGGTGAAATCCTGTCTCTACCAAAAAATACAAAAATTAGCTGGGTGTCGTGGCACACACCTCTAATTCCAGCTACTCAGGAGGTTGAGGCAGGAGAATCACTTGAACCTGGGAGATAGAGATGGCAGTGAGCTGAGATCGTACCACTGCACTCTAGCCTAAGTGACAGAGCAAGACACAAAAATAATTTAAAATAAAGATAAATAAATAAATAAAAGCAAAAACAGACAAATGGGATTTTAGACAAAATGCAAGGCTTCTGGACAGCAAAGGAAACAATGAACAAAGTGAAGAGCTAACCCACAGAGAGACAGAAAATATATGCAAATCATACATCTGATAAGGGAGTAATATCCACAATAAATAAAAAACTCAAAAAACTCAATAGTCAGAAAACAAATAACCCAATTAGAAAATGCGCAAAGCACCTGAAGAGACATTTCTCAAATGAAGACATTCAAATGGCCAACAGGTTCCAGAAAAAAATGTTCAGTATCACTAATCATTAGGAAAAACAAATTAAACCACAATGATATACCTACCATCTTACATCTGTCAGATCAGATGTTATCAAAAAGACAAGAAATAAGTATTGGTGAGGATGCAGAAAGAAGAAAACCCTTGTACCATGTTGGAGGGAATGTAAACTAGTACAACCACTGTATTGGGCTGTTGTCATGCTGCTAAGAAAGACACACCCGAAACTGGGTAATTTATAAAGAAAAAGACGTTTAATAGACTCACAGTTTCACATGGCTGGGGAGGCCTCACAATCATGGCAGAAGGTGAAAGGGGGCAAAGGCACATCTTACAAGGCAGCAGCCAAGAGAGCATGTGCAGGGGAACTGCCCTTCATAAAACCATCATATCTCATGAGACTTATTCACTATCATGAGAACAGCATGGGAGAAACCACTCCCATGATTCAGTTACCTCCCAACAGGTCTCTCACAGGACACATGGGATTATGGGAGCTACAACTCAAGATGAGATTTGGGTGAGGACACAACCAAACCGTATCAACCACTATGAGAAATAGTTTTTAAGTTTCCTCAAAAAACTAAAATTAGAAATACTATATGATCTAGCAATCCCACTTCTGGGTATATATCCAAAAGAGATCAATATGTCATATCAGTATGTCAAAGAAATCTCCGTACTCCCATGTTTATTGCAGCACTTTTCACAATAGCCAAGATATGGAATCACCATAAAGGCCATCAAAGGATGAACAGACAAGGAAAACGTGGTGTCTACACACAATGGAATAATATTCAGCCTTAAAAGAGAAAAAAGTCCTGTCATTTGGGACAGCATAGATAAATCCGGAGGACATTATGCTAAGTGGAATAAGCCAGGCAGGAAAGAAAAATACGGCATGATCTTATTTATATATGGAATTGTAAAAAGTCAAACTCACAGAAGCTTAAAGGGCCGGGCACAGTGGCTCACACCTGTAATCCCAGCACTTTGGGAGGCCAAGGTAGGAGGATTCCTTGAGCACAGGAGTTTAGACCAGTCCAGGCAAAATAGTGAGACCCTCATCACTACCAAAAAAAAAAAAAAAAAAGTTTTTTTATTTGATTTGATTTATTTATTTTTTGAGACGGAGTCTCACTTTGTTGCCCAGGCTGGAGTGCAGTGGCACAACCTCAGCTCACTGCAATCTCTGCCTCCCAGATTCAAGTGATTTCCTGCCTCAGCCTCCAGAGTAGCTGGGATTACAGGCACTCATCACCACACCCGGCTAATTTTGTATTTTTAGTAGACACAGGGTTTCACCATGCTGGCCAGACTGGTCTTGAACTCCTGACTTCAGGTGATCCACCTACCTCAGCCTCCCAAAGTACTGGGATTACAGGCATGGGCCACCGCACTTGGCCAACAAAAGGTTTTTAAAAAGAAGTAGAAAAGAGAATGATGGTTACCAGAGGCTTAGAGGGTAGGGTGGAGAATGACGGGGAGAGAATAGGAAGCTATTGGTCAGAGGGACATCAAGTTTCAGTAAGACAGGAGGAATGTTTTGAGATCCGTTGCACAGCAGAGAGACTACAGTCAATAATATATTGCATCCTTCAACCTAACTAAAAGAGTAAATTTTAAGTGAATCTCCATAAAAATTGTAAGTAAGTGAGGTGGTAGATATGCTTTTTGGGTTTTTTGTTTTTTTGAGATGGAGTCTGGCTCTGTTGCCCAGGCTGGAGTGCAATAGTGCAATCTCAGCTCACTGCAACCTCCGCCTCCCCGGTTCAAGCGATTCGCCTGCCTCGCTGGGACTAGTCATGCGCCACCATGCCCAGCTAATTTTTTTTTGGATTTTTAGTAGAGACGGAGGTTTCACCATGTTAGCCAGGGTGGTCTCAATCTCCTGACCTCGTGATCCCCCCACCTTGGCCTCCTAAAGTGCCAGGATTATAGGCCTGAGTCACCGCACCGGGCCAAGGTGGTAGGTATGTTAATTGGCTTGATTTAATCATTCCACAGGTGTACATAGATCAAAACATCACACTGAACCTCAGAAATGTAAATAATTAGGATTTGCCCATTTGAAACAATATTAACAAAATTTTTAAAGAAAAAATATTTGATGATACATGAAATTCTAGTTACATACAATATAATCCCAATTGTTTAAAACATATTGTTATAAACTAAGAGCAGATGGTCAGGAACACAGATGCTGGAGTCAGACAGACTAGGGTTTAGTCCCAGGTCTACACTGGTTGCTACTGGAGCTTAGATGAGTCTCTCAGCTCTTCGGTTTCATTACTTCCTCATCTGAAAAATAACATCTCCCTCACAAGTCATCATGGAGACGAATGAATGCATATACAGCCCACTAATCACCATCTCTGGAACACTGCAAGCAGTACATATTATTGTTACAATGATTGTATCGACATGACAGATTCTTCACATGTTGACGCTGTGGGTAACCAGTTCCCAAGATATTTGAATACAATGACATTCTCTTCATACCAAAACTGAGTGGCCACAACATACTCATGCAGAGATTCAGAAGGCATGTAAGACTACAAGAGAGCTATCGAAATTGCAAATGCATGCAACCCTCTCACCTAGCAACCCACTTGTCTCTTCACGTATGTAAAACGACACTCACTATTCACTTTTGTGTAAGATTTTTTTAAAGGCAAATTTACCTGGAAAAGGGATAATGTGCTGCTATGCAAAGGTCTCGGAGAGGTATCATACAGCGAGAAAAGCCAGATGAGTTCCAGTGTGCGTGAAAGGCTACCTTCAGGTAGGGGAAAATAACTCTACACGTTTGTTTGCATAAGTAAACACTGGAGGGATGCCCAAAGATCAACACAGCTGGTCATTTCAGGGACACATGAACTGTTTTGGGGGGAACGGGAATGGGACTTAGACTCTTCGCTGTAAGCCTTTTTATGTTGCCTGACTTTTTAAAACTTTCATTGATGTATAAATATACACATAGAAAACTGTATATAACCATACCACTGAATTTTAAAAAAAAATTTCTTTTTTTTTTTTTTGAGAGAGAGTCTTGCTCTGTCACCCAGGCTGGAGTGCAATGGCGCAATCTCAGCTCACTGCAACCTCCACCTCCCAGGTTCAAGCAATTCTTGTGCCTCAGCCTCCAAAGTAGCTGGGATTACAAACGCGTGCCATCACACCCGGCTGATTTTTGTATTTTTAGTAGAGATGGAATTTCACCATGTTGGTCAGGCTGGTCTCAATCCCCTGACCTCAGGTAATCCACCAGCCTTGGCCTCCCAAAGTGCTGGGATTACAGGCAAAAGCCACTGCACCCGGCCCACCACTGAATAAATCTTTAGAAACTGAACACAACTGCATGACCAGGCCCGTTGATGAGTCAGAACATTGCCACCCACCCCAGAAGTCTCCTTCATGACTCCTTCCAGCCTCTCCCCTCCCCCAACAAAATGATCATTTCTAATATATACTCTTTCGTGTCTAACTTCTTTTGCCTAAATTGTTTGAGGAGTTCTCCGTTTTGTAGTGACTAAATTCATTTCCGGTGCCAGATATTATTCTGTAGTTTTTTTCTAATTATTTTCAAGTCTACAGTGATGGGCATTTGGGTTTTTTCTCATGTGGCATTATTATGAATACTAATTCTACCAACATTTTTGCTCTTATCTTTTAGGAAATGTATTTCTCTTGGGTATGAGACAGTCGATGATCCTAACTCATCTGTGGGGCTATAGGCACTTTCCTGAGCAACCCTCCAGTAATCCTCCTACCTCTTTATCCTCCAAGGGGACGGAGGATGGGAAGCTGGTCCCAACCTGCTGAGGAATTAAGAACCGGAACTTGTTGGGTGCTTCAGGGACAACCTTGGCGCCACTGGATTGGAATGGCTGTTTATCAGGGCATGTGCAGTAATCCTTGATGTCCCAGATCTAGACACAAAGTATGGGTTAGTGGCCTCACATGCCTTGACCCAGACCCCAACTCACTCTGTGGGCTCCTCCTGACCCTTCCTCTTCCTTTGTTGGGGATACCTCACCACTCAGGGCCAGAAAGGGCCTTAGGGATCTTCTAGGCCAGACTCCAGGATGAGCAGGCAGGCAGAGTGTGACTGGCTCACCCCTGCCTCACATCTTGCCACAAGGCACAAAATCAGCTCCTGAGCCAGCTGATCCTAGATTAGCCACATGACTGAGGGATGAGGGAGTTGTGGAAGACAATGATGGAGCCTGGAATTCATCGGGGAAGGCTTCTTGGAGGAGCCTTTTGAACCAAGCCCCCACTCATGTCACTGAGCATACCATGACCCTCCTCCCTGCATTGTTTTACAAATGGACCCAGTACCCAGAGGGAGTAGGAACCAGGCAAGGGCCACGTGCAGCAAAGAGTTGGCCGGACGCTTGGTTGGCACCAGCCCCTCAATCTCAGTGCCGGTTCTTCCTCACCTTGATGTATCCTCTACAATCCCCCGTGATGAGGATCCAGTCATTTTTATCAGTGGCCATGGCACCCACGACAACGTCCCCAGGGTCTAGGTCCACAGGAAACTTCCCCAGCAGGCCCCCATTCCCGTGGATGGACCAGGCATAGAGGTAGCCATCCATGCAGCTGCTCAGCAGGGCAGCCGTGTGTGGCAGACGAGGCCTGGTCTGCAGGAAGATTATCTGAGGGAGAGAGGAGGGTGTGGCTCAGCAGCGCTATGAGCCACTGTCGCATGGTGCTGAGGGACCCCAGCAAGTCACCACAGCCACCTGGTTCCCCAATTTCCCAGATGTCCAATGGGAGTGGTGATGGCGGTCCCACCCTTCCTACCCAGCTGGTGACAAGGAACATCATACCCCTTTGAAAAAAAAAAGCCAAGAGCTAAACGATAGTTTCGGATGTTCCCAGTTTTGTTTGAAAAATCAAAACCATAAAAAAATTAAGATGCACACAACTTTTACAGTAGTCATTAACTGTCATTTTAAAGGATGTGTTTTAAATTTTGTCACAAGCGCATTCCAGATGATTAAATATTTTTCTAAAATGTGGTTCCTCATAGCTGCACAGGATTCACCAAAGTGATGTGCCACAAAGGTGTCCCATGTCTGAACTAGGGAAAAGCTGAGGCAGCCATTGCAGCCATTCCTCTGCCAGCCCTGGGACGGTGAGAGCAGCAGGGTGAAGCTGAGTGAGCGCTCAGGACTTGGGCAGCACTGGAGAGGGACGGCCCACCCAGAGCACGGGGTCAACTGCATGGCCGGCATCTGCTGCTCATAGCGGGGAAAAGCACAGTGGGAATGGTGGCCCGAGGCAGAACAGAGCCGTGTGGCCACAAGGGACAGGTAACCAACACTATTCCTTTTGCACTCAGCATCCAGCCCCCTCCAACACATTGGCCTGCTCATTTTGAAAAGAACTGCTGGACTAAAGTCACGTATTTCAGTCTCACTCAGCCCAGGAACCCCAGATAGTTTCTCAACCACAGGAGCTAACAGCCTCCCTGTGGGTCCCTTCAGAGGAAGCCACTGCAGCTAGTAACTGGCTAAACTTCATATAACTTGGAGCAATTTTCCACTGCCCGCCATCTGGTCTTTCCCTACTACAGAGATGGCCAGGGGCAAGTGCTTCATCTAAAGACTGTCAGGGGCTGGGCACAGTGACTCAGGCCTATAATCCTAATACTTTGGGAGGCCAAGGCAGGAGGGTCACTTGAGGCCAGAAGTTCAAGACTAGCATGGACAACATGGTGAAACCCCATCTCCACTAAAAACGCAAAATTAGCCAGGTATGGTTCCACAAGCCTGTAATCCCAGCTACTCAGGAGGTTGAGGCATGAGAATTACTTGAACCCAGGAGTCAGAGGTGGTAGTGAGCTGAGATTACACCACTGCACTCCAGCCTGGGCAACAGAGTGAGACTCCATCTCAAAAATAAATAAGTAAAATTAAAAATAAAGACTGTCAGGGACACAGCTGGTCCTGGATCTGCATCCTGGACTCCCTCCTAGTGCTCTTTCTGCCATGCCCCACAGTCTTCTGGGATGGCCAGAAAGAATGGGAAGGAAGACCCAACAGGTAAGACCCCCACCCACTACCCATGAGGCATCCTTACCCCAGCCCACCCAAGCCCCTCTTCCACTAAGGAGAAGCTGAGATCAGAGGTGACCCAAGCACTCTGGACTCTCTCCAGCGTACCACCGTAGAGTGCTTCACTCTGCCCACCAGTGCCCAAGAGAGAAGGGACCCTGCTACTCAAGGAGTGATGCAGGTGGAGACAGTGCACCTTGAAGTCAGAGGTGAGGGTCAGTGTCCAGAGGGGGCCAGCCTTAGACAGGGACCAGCAGGCCCTTATAAACACACACACACACACACACACACACACCACACACACACACACACCACACACACATACCACACATACACATACCACACACACACCACACACACACACACACACACCACACACCACACACCACACACACACATACCACACACACACCACACACACACCACACACACACACACCCCACACACACCACACACACATACCACACACACACCCCACACACACCACACACACATACCACACACACACCCCACACACACCACACACACATACCACACACACACCACACACACACACACCACACACACACCACACACACACACACCACACACACACATACCACACACACACCCCACACACACACACCCCACACACACACCACACACACACCACACACACACGCACACCACACACACATACCACACATACACATACCACACACACACACACCACACACACACACCACACACACACGCACACCACACACACATACCACACATACACATACCACACACACACCACACACACACACACCACACACACACACCACACACACACACACCACACACACCACACACACACACCACACACACCACACACACACATACCACACACACACACCACACACACACCACACACCACACACACACACCACACACATCACACACACACACCACACACACACCACACACACACACACACCACACACACACACACCACACACACACACCACACACACACGCACACCACACACACATACCACACATACACATACCACACACACACCACACACACATACCACACACACACCACACACCACACACACACATACCACACACACACACCCCACACACACCCCACACACACCCCACACACACACACACCACACACACACACCACACACACACACCCCACACACACCACACACACCACACACACACCACACACACCACACACACACCACACACACACACCACACACACACACCCCACACCACACACACACACACACACACACACAGCCCTACCAGCCAGTGCCTCAAATCTCACCGATGACATTCAGTCCTTCAATCGATACTTCAAAAACAAAAAAATGATACAAGCAAATCGTTAAGTTCATTGTCTGGCAGATATTGAGAGCTCAATAAATACTAGTTACCACTGAAACATAACACAACATAGTGAAAGCTTTCCAGGAGTGTGTTTCTAATCCTAGAAACATGCAATTCTCTGGCCAAATATTCAATCAAGATTCATGATACAAGTCCTTATGACACCCAGATCACCAGGCCACATAAAAAGTCCAAGGAATTCCCAACAGTGGTGGCACAAAGAGTGAAAAGAACTTGAACTTCAAAATCAAACAGACCTAGAATCAGGCCCTGGCTCTGCCATTTTCTGGCAGTAAGAATCTTGGGCAAGTCACTTGACCTCATTGAGCCTGTTTCTTCAGCCATAAAATGGGAATGATGGTACTTACTACCCAGGGCTGCTTGGTGGACAAAATGAAAACAACACATGTAGCTGGGCGTGGTGGCTCACGCCTGTAATCCCAGCACTTCGGGAGGCCAAGGTGGGAGGACTGCTTGAGCCCAGGAGGTCAAGACCAGCCTGGGCAACATAGGGAGACTCTATTTCTAGAAATAATTTTTTTTAATCAGCCAGGCACAGTAGCACACACCTATGGTCCTAGCTATTAATACTCAGAAGGCTGAGATGGGAGGATTACTTCAGCCTGGGAAGTGGAGGTTGCAGTGAGCCGTGATTGTGCCACTGCACTCCAGCCTGGGCAAGAAAGAGAGCTGAGACCCTGTCTCAAAAAACAAAAAATAATGGGCCATGTGCAGTGGCTCACGCCTGTAATCCCAGCACTTTGGGAGATTGAGGTGGGTGGATCACAAGGTCAGGAGTTTGAGACCAGCCTGGCCAACATGGTGAAACCCCGTCTCTACTAAAGATACAAAAAATACCAGCGGGGCATGGTGGCACGTGCCTGTAATCCCAGCTACTCAGGAGGCTGAGGCAGAAGAATTGCCTGAACCCAGGAGGCGGAGGTTGCGGTGAGCCGAGATCGCGCCATTGCACTCCAGCCTGGGTAACAAGAGCGAAACTCCGTCTCAAAAAAAAAAAAAAAGAGTTCAAGACCAGCCTGGCCAACATGGTGAAATCCCATAACTACTACTTCTACTACTATTAATAATAATAATACAAAATTAGCCAGGCATGGTGGCGGGCACCTGTAATCCCAGCTACTCAGGAGGCTGAGGCAGGAGAATCGGTTGAACCCAGGAGACGGAGGTTGCAGTGAGCCAGGATTGTGCCATTGCACTCCAGCCTGGGCGACAAGGCAAGACTCCCTCTCAGAAAACAAAAAGAGTAAGGTAACAAAAGAATAAGATGAATCTGAATCCCTCTCATGAAAGTATATCCACACTATAGACTTACAGAAAAAAGCAAATGGCAGGACATAGCTATTATTTTTTACTAGTCAAAAAAAAAGTACAAGACTAAAACCAACCTGTTAGCAGTGACTGCTGCTGCTGAGGGTGGGATGGAGTAGGGCGAGGCATGGGGGACTTTTCTTTCTTTCTTTACATGCACTTCTTCTTTTTACTATAAATTAGTATCTTTACTTTTAAAAGTTATTTAAGGTTTCGTTTTTTTTTCTTAAAGAGAGAGAGAAGGAATGGTGTTCACGTCTGAATGGTGTTCAGGTATGGTGGTTCACGTCTATAATCCCAACGCTTTGGGAGGCTGAGGCAGGAGGATCACTTGAGCCCAGGAGTTCAAGACTATGCCTGGGCAGCACAGTGAGACTGCATCTCTACAAAAGAAAAAAAAAATACAAAAATAATTAGCTGGGCATGATACTGCATGCCTATAGTCCCAGCTACTCACAGGCTGAAGTGGGAGGATCACTGGTGCCCAGGAGGTTGAGGCTGTAGTGAGCTGTGATCACACCACTACAATCTAGCCTGATTGACAGTGAGACCCTGTCTCAAGAAAAAAAAAGGGAGAGAAATATTCGGAATCTGGAGGAGAGAACGTGCAGCAACTCCTGGCTCTCCCTCCCAGCACTGCAAAACCCAGCTCTCAGGACACAGCCCCCTTGTTTTCAAGTTGCTGGTCCCTGGAGCTGGGTGATGGGGCAGGCCTGCCACATCCTAACTCAACTATGATTTGTATTTTCAGGAGGGGGAGTCAGTATCACGGTGAGGGGCGTCCAGGGTCAGAAAGGAGAAGGTACAGGAAGGAGACCAGAGATGAACCCATGCCCAGCTCATGTTCGGTATAAAACACCCTCCCAGTTAATAGGAGGGCATTCTAACTTAACTGGAGTCTGGAGATGCTGCCTCTCCTGCCTCCCACTCCAGAGGAAACACTGCTATCCCCAGTCCAGAGGCGACGCTGCTCACCTCCCTAGGCACCCCAACTCCACCTCCTGGGGAACTGATATAGTTTAGCTGTGTCACCATTGAAATCTCAACTTCACCTGTACCTCCCAGAATTCCCCCGTGTTGTGGAAGGGACCCAGGGCGAGGTAACTGAATCATGGGGGCCTGTCTTTCCCCAACAATTCTCGTGATAGTAAATAAGTCTCACGAGATCTGATGGGTTTATCAGGGGTTTCCACTTTTGCTTCTAATTTTCTCTTGCTGCTGCCACTTAGGAAGTGCCTTTCCCCTCCCACCATGATTGTGAGGTCTCCCCAGCCATGTGGAACTGTAAATCCAGTTAAACCTCTTTCTTCCCAGTCCTGGGTATGTCTTTATCAGCAGCGTGAAAACAGATTAATACAGGAGCTCTCCCCAGACGCCACAGCTCTTACTTCAGAATCCCAAGTGGCTCCATCCTCTCCAAGACACCTCCCAAGCCCCATCCTGACTGCCCACTCCCTGGCTCACATCCCACTCCCTGGTTGATCACAGCCAACCTTCTCCACTGAGGCACTGGATTGAAGCAACAAATTCTTCTGCAATTCTCCTTTCCTCGTTTCAGCCTCTTTGTAAAGGGACTGTTGGCTATGGATCTTGCTTGGCTGCCTGGATGAGCCAGCAGCACTGGAAGGTTTCTGGAAGGAAAGAAAGATGGGCACCCTAGTCACCATGAGGGTGTTTCCCTTCCCAATGGGGGATCAGAGACCAGAGAAAGATGATAAAAGAGGTGGCACTCCCGAGCCCCCGCAGCAGGTACACTGCCCTGGGAAAAGCAGCTCAGTGAATCCTGGAAACATCCACTTTAAGTTCCCAGAAATTTTGTCGCAGCAAAACTGGGGCAAAGACTTGAGTTTGCCTTTGGGGAAGACCCTTTGTCCTGGAAGAGACCATCCTGGTTAAATGAGGATAAAGCCAGGGCATGGTGGTTCACACCTGGAATCCCAGCACTTTGGGAGGTCGAGGCAGAAAATTTCAGGCCAGGAGTTCGAGACCAGCCTGGCCAATATGGAGAAACCCTGTCTCCAATAAAAATACAAAAAATTAGCATTAGGCAAAATACCTAATGTAGATGATGGGATGATGGATGGAGCAAACCACCATGGCATGTGTATACCTATGTAACAAACCTGCACGTTCTGCACATGTACCCCAGAACTTACAGTATAATAATTAAATAAATAAGTAAATAAAAATACAAAAAATTTAGCTGGGAACGGTGGTGCACACCTGTAATCCCAGCTACTAGGAGGTTGTGGCAGGAGAATCTCTTGAACCTGGGAGATGGAGGTTGCACTGAGCAGAGATCATGCCACTGCACTCCAGCCTGGGTAACAGTGAGACTCCATCTCAAAAAAAAAGTAAAAAATAAAAATAAGGATAGAGGAGCAAATATCCCCATCCACCCATTGCCCTAGAAGATGTGAAAGCAGTGGTGGAAGCTCTGGTAACTCAAAGATGGTATGAGTGTCTGGCGGTAAAGTGTACCCATCTCACAGCAAAACAATATCCTAGCAGATCATGCTGAATCGAGGTCTAGACTGCCCTAGGCCTAGCAATTATTGTGTGTCTGGGGAAGGTGGTGGTTCTCACTCAAGCCTCAGCTCCCAGGAATGGAAATCAGACCTTGACTGTGAGAACAATCTGGCTGGTTCCTCCTCCCCGATACAAGAGATTATTGCACTGACTGTTGGAATACTGTCCTCACGGCTGAAAGCTCAAGGGCAAGCCATCTCCTGCAAGTAGGAAAAGTAACTCCTCCTGCTCTTTCTCCTTACCCCCAGTAAAATAACAATGCCAGCCATTCTTGGAAGGGCTAGTCCTGGAGCAGAGATGAGGCTCAGAGAAGGAAGAGAGTGATTTGTCTGTGTCTGGGTCTCAGACTCTTGCAGCCTGGTCTCCAAGTAGCTGAGGCCCCCGTGGCTCACCTCTGCACCTGGGCCAGGGTCAGGGGACTTGCGCTCGAGGACTGAGAATGCAGCCCAGGATCTAACATCCAATTTTAGGTTTCCGGGGCTGTGTTCTCTTTGGGTCCTGCCTTTCAGCTTTCAGACTTTGAGGCCTGGTATCAGCCATGCCCTGGGAAGGGACCAAGCCCCAGCTCCAGGTTAGATTTCAGTGGGATTTTTTCCAGTGGGACTAAAATCAGAGAGTGCCCTACCCAGGCCCACAATGGTCAAAACAAGTGAGTTAAGGGACCTAAAGGCACTCTGGAAAAAGTGCATCCCAGTAAGGAAACACACACACAGCAGGTGTGTGAATGCCGGCGGCTGGAGAGTGAGGGTAGCCTTCGGGTTGGGCTCTCACTCCCACCTGCTGGGGCACAGGCCTGTCTGACTTCTTGTCTCTCGGGAACCTCATCACTGGGGGAGCCGACGCCAGGCTCTGCCTCAGGTTGGTACTGGCCCCAGACTTGGGGCCGAGACTAGAGAGCTTCTTGCGGGTCTTGTACGCCCACTTCTCCCGTTCCACACAGGGTCCGCTGGGCCTCCGGCTCTCAGCCAGGCAGTAGTTCGCATCTTGTGCCTGTGCCAAGGAGAAAGCAGCCCCTAAGGCACTGCAGTGTCCTAGAGGTAAATTCTGGGCTGCCCCCGATCAATGCCAAAACCACGGGGCCCTCCAGCCGCCCAGGCCTTGCTTCCCAGAAACCTAGGCCCCTTGAAGACATCAGCCCAGAGCTTCTAACCCCATTCCTGGCCAGCTGCAGTGCCCGGAGTCCCCACAAGCAGGACACTGCTCCCATGAAGAACTCAGTTTTCTCATCTGTAAAATGGACAGTGGTTTCCAAATATTTTTGGGGTTACCTTTAATCTCAAGGGAGGCTCCAAAGCATAAAACAGATAAAAAGCTGAGCCATTCTGGGGGAAGCCCCACCTACCAGAGCCCCTGGCAGTAGCTTCCAAGCATCTCTCCCCAACACATTTGGAAAAACCACTGGATGAGGTGGCCCCTAAGGTCCCTTCCTGCTTTGATCTGCTGAGATGCAGAAATTTGGAGACAGAATGGGTTGCCTTAGTCCCTACTGGTGAGCCCAGAGGGGTAATGTGTAGTGGCAATGGGAGGGAGTGAGTAACCTACAGATGGCAGGCTGGCGCCTTTGGAGTCAGATTGCCTGGGTTTGGATCTACTTCTTGGCTGTGTGACCTTAGGCAAGGTGCTTAACCTCTCTGTGCCTCCATTTTCTCATCTCATCTGTCCAATGAGGAAAATTCCAGAAACTACCACCTACCTAACCAAGCTCCCCACCCTCTCCAGAACAAGTCGCCATCATCCCTCCTGCTTCCCAGGGTGCTCCCCACCCTCCCTGCCCCACAGGATTCTGGCTCATAGCTGAGAGAAGGGTGGAAGGAGTGTGTGCTCCTGTTAACATACCCTCTTGGGCTGCAAGGGCAAGGGGCTTATAGAGGCATTGAAGCTGAAGATGGGCTTGAGTGTGCTGGTGTTCCAGAAGAGGATGTCTCCACTGTAGGAGGAGGTCCCGAGGAACTGGTTCTGGTACTTGGCCATGCTCAGGATGTCCTGCACATGGTAGGTCTGCCAGTGGTCACACAGGAGCACCTGCTTGGTCTTGTGGAACCTGTGCACATGCCAGAGGTGGGAGGGCTGAGAGCTCAGCCTTTATTGCTCCATCCATTGGGGAAGCACTGGAGCCGAGAGGATTCTGGGAGCCGGCTCAGAGGAGGATACTCTCAGGCATCGGAGCTGGGCTGAAGCCATGCCCCATTAACCTCATTTACTAAGCACTTACTACATGCCTTCTACAAAGGCCTTGTCGTAGAGGCTTTACATAAACTAATCTTACGGATAACAAATCTGTAATACACCCCCAGTCAGACACCTAGGTAAGGATTAAAGTTTAAAGGAGGGGAAACTGTGGCCTTACCGAGGTCCCCTAAAAAGAAAGGGACCTTGAACTGTTCTTCCTGGAAAGCCCATTCTACTAAAGAGTTCACTGAGACCCTTCCTTCTCACACTTCAGATTGCACTCCACCCACAACACCCTCACTGAGCCTTTCGTAACCACCACCCCCAAAAAGAAATCAGGTTTCCATCTACTCAACCCGCATAAAAACTTCTACTTTTTTTTCATGGCACTTAATATACTTTATAACTGAAAGTATTAACATTTGATTAGTATCTGCCTTCTTGATGCAGACAGAACATTCATATTCTCCAAAAATTCATCTTAAAACCTAATCATCAATGTGAGGGTATTCTGAGATGTGGCCTTTGGGAGGTGATTCAGACAGAAGGGCGGAGCCCTCATAAATGGAATCAGTACCTTTATAAAAGAGGTTCTAGGCTAGGCATGGAGGCTCATGCCTATAATGCCAGCACTTTGAGGGGCCAAGGAAGGAGAATCGTTTGAGGCCAGGAGTTCAAGACCAGCCTGGGCAACAGAGCACAACCACATCTCTAAAAAACAAAAATTTTTTTTAATTAGCCAGGCATAGTGACACACACCTGTAGTCCTAGCTATTCAGGAGGTTGAGGCAGGAGGATCACTTGAGCCCAGAAGTTCAAGGCTGCAGTGAGCTGTAATTATGCCACTGCACTCCAGCCTGGGCAATAAAGCAAGATCCTATCTCTTAAAAAAAAACAAAAATTAGAGGCCCAGAGAGATCCCTTCTCCTCTCTACCATGTAAGATCATCACCTAACTTCACAGGCTCCATTCTCCATGCTCCTTGACCACTCACATGTGGCTCCTGTGGATGCTGGTACAGCACAGACTGCACCCAGCAGAGCTGAGAGGACATGGCTGCCCCCACCACCTAGATTTCAAAGGACAGGGCCTCCCAGCAGAGCCACAGCCTTGGAATTCCAGCCCCACAGGGCCAGGGCGCTCATGCAGGGAAGCGAAGCAGGGGCAGGGCCCAGGCATAGAGCCACCATGGTGGCAAGGCTACCAAATCTGCAGGTGCAGGGCAGCCCAGAATCTTAGGGTTCCAATCATCTGCCTGGCAAAACAGCAGGGGCAGAACTGCCACCCCAGTGGGCCTGAAGGGCAGGGTATCCAGCCAAAGAGGATTATCCTTGAGATTTAAGGTCTATTAGCATTGCCCCGATGGATTTTTGGCTTGCTCAGGACCTGTCCCCTTTCTTCTTTCCTGTCTCTCCCTTTTATCTATCCTATGCCTGTCCCACCATTCTATTTCAGAAGTACATAACATGTTAGTATCACATGTTCACAGCTAGAGGGGAATTTGCTTCAGAATGAATTGTGCCTTGAGACTCACCCATATTTGATTTAGGTGATATTCAGATGATATTTTGGACTTGGACATTAAAGTTGATACTGGAACAAGTTAAGATTTGGGGGGCTACTGGGATTAAATCAATATATTTCGCATCAGAGAAGGACACAAATTTTGAGAAGTCAGGGATGGAACACCATAGACTGAATTTTGCTCTCAAAATTCATATATTGAAGGCTAATCCCAAAGGTGAGGATATTTGGAGGTGGGGCCTTGGGAGGCAATGAGGTCATGAAGGTGGAGCACTGGGCCGGGTGCGGTGGCTCACGCCTGTAATCCCAGCACTTAGGGAGGCCGAGGCAGGTGGATCACAAGGTCAAGAGATCGAGACCATGCTGGCCAACATGAGGAAACCTCATCTCTACTAAAACTACAAAAATTAGCTGGGCGTGGTGGTGCACACCTGTAGTCCCAGCTACTCAGGAGGCTGAGGCAGGAGAATCGCTTGAACCTGGGAGGCAGAGGTTGCAATGAGCCCAGATTGTGCCACTGCACTCCAGCTTGGTGACGGAGCAAGACTTCGTATAAAAAAAAAAAAAGAAAGAAAATGGAGTCCTTATGAAGGGGATTAGTGTTCTTATAAAGGAGGCCCCAGAGAGATATCCTACCACTTCCACCATGTAAGGTTACAGTAAGAAGACAGCTGTCTATGAATCAGGAAGTGGGCCCTCACCAGGCACCAAAGAGTGCAACAGCATGATCTTGGCTCACCAAATCTGCTGCCACCTTGATCTTGAACTTCATCTCTAGAACTCTGATAAGTAAATTCCTATTGCTTATGAGCAACTCTGTCTATGATATTGTTACAGCAGCCCAAATGGACTAAGACATTCCCCCACTGAACTAGATGCTCCAGGAGGATAAAGACTCCAGCGCTCTTGTTTATACCCATCCCAGGCACCTAGCAAAAAGCCAACAGTGTATTAGCCTCGTGAACGATGGAAGGATGGATGGATGGATGAATACGTAGATGAAGCAATCGTCATTAACCACCGCTAACTTCCTGCTTGGTGTTCCAACCACCAGGAAAGCTAGGAATGGAGGAACCTGGAGAGAGAGCATGCAGCTGCTGTGAACTACTCACCATGCACACTTTCTACTCACAGGAAATAAGTGACTCTCTTACTCCATCCTGTCACGTAGAACACTTTGTTCATATGGATAATCCCACTAATCTGTTGAAGATGAAAGAAAATAATAGAACTAGAACTCCACCACACCTGACTAAATTTTTTTTGTAGTTTTAATAGACATAGGGGTTTCGTTGTATTGGTCAAGCTGGTCTCGAACTCCTGGCCTCAGGTGATCCACCCGCCCTAGCCATCCAAAGTGCTGGGATTACCACTCAGCTGGCTGAGTGCACTTTCTGAGCTGGTTAAAGGACTGTGACACAGCAGTTGGGTTGGAGATGCTGGCTTTGCCCTATGCTACTCCCATGGACTGGTCCTATGATACCATCAGGCATTTACCAAATAGGGGTGACCATGGGTGGCTATGAATTAGCTGACCCCACTGCTAAAAATGCAATCCAAAGCGCCGGGACGTGGAATGAGAAGTGCTAGCCAATTTAAAATGCAACAGGAGCTAACCTTAGTGGAAACCGGTAAGGCCAGGCACTGTTACCTGCCTTCATTTCATGCATGAGGACACAGAGGCTCAGGGACGTTTGAAGCCAGGCCACCTGACTGTGGTCAACACCCCTTCACGGAGGTACAAAATGTAATGCATCCCAGGGTCACAGGAGCTGGGCTTTGCTTCCCAAGAGGCCCTCCCTGGCTCTAGTTGACAAGCCAGACTGACCTCCAGCTGGTCCGGATTGGGAAAGGTCAGCAGGCATTTGCCGATGTTGTAGTTCCACATTTTTATCGTGCCATCCCGCAAGCCTGTGATCAGGCAGCGCTCAGACTCATCCAGGGCCATGGCGGTGAGCTCCATGTGCTGGCCCCCAGATACAGAGAACTCCATCGTCTTCCTGCCAGTCACGACCTCCCACACACTCACTATGCCATGCAGGCAGCCACTCACCACCTGTGGGGAGCACACGGCTGGGGGCTGCTGCAGAGGCTGGGGCCTCCACTCTCAAAGGTGGCCTCCAGCCTGCCATGGCCCCTTCCCTCCATGCACAGAGAAGACAGAAGTTCAGGGCCCCCTGCTACAGCATAAGCCACTCTTGAAAACAGGACCTCCTCTGCCCCGTAGCACAGGACAGTTCAAACTGGAACATTTGGTGAAGAACTGTTAACTCAGAAGTGGCATTTATCAAGATCTAGCCAAAGAAAATAATCCCTATCTGGAAAAAACATTACTGAAGCAACATTAATCATGACCACCCCCTCAAAAAAAAATAAATAAACTAACTGCCCCCTAAGTAGGGAAATGTTGAGAGTAAGGACGGCTAAGCCACTCGATGAAACATTTTGCCACCATGACCACTGTTATAACGCAAGAGTAGCAGGTGAGGCCGGGCACAGTGGCTCACGCCTGTAATCCAACCCAGCACTTTGGGAGGCTGAGGCAGGCAGATCACTTGAGGTCAGGAGTTCGAGATGAGCCTGGCCAACATACTGAAACCCTGTCTCTACTAAAAAATACAAAAATTAGCTGGGCATGGTGGTGCACGCCTATAATCCCAGCTACTCGGGCTGAGGCAGGAGAATCACTTAAACCCAGAAGGCGGAGGTTGTAGTGAGCCGAGATCACACCACTGTACTCCAGCCTGGGCAACACTGCAAGACCCTGCCTTAAAAAAAAAAAGTAGCGATGAGGTTGTTTCAGAACAACCCCTCCTAATGAGAACATGTAGAAAAGCTGAGAATTTATTTTTAATTTTAAAAAAACTTTCTAAGGCACTGAAGAGCACTAAGGCAGTGAGAGATGCTGGTGGCAGGAGCCGGGATGGGAGACAAGCCCAGAGTGGTGAGCTCCAGCCTTGCGCAGCCTGAGGCCACCTCTGCAGCCGATGCAGTGCCCCTGTCCAGAGCCTGCGCCAGACAAAAGGTCCCAGTGGGTGGGAGAGAGCAGAGGGGCAGTAGCCCCTCCTGTCCTCACTCCTCAGAAGCAGCTCCTAGTGCCCAGCTGCCCTGCCCAACCCAGAAACTCCACGCAGGACCAAGGCGCGGCCTGCAGCCTGGGCCTCTCTCCCTTCCTGCAATGAACAAAGCCAAGTTATGGCTTCCCTGGAAAGCGATGCCCACGAACAGCACCCGCTCTGGGAACCCAGGAGAGCGCCCCATCACTAGCCCTCCGTCCCATACTCCACGTAAAGAAGGCCCACTCCAGAGCTGACCCAAGGCGCTCAGCTGAGGGTATGAGGCTCAGAGGAGTTAGGCGATCCTGTGGCTGACGGTTAGAGCTCAGAGCTGATCCCACGCCAGCCCATCCGCAGCAGTGCTTTCTGTTCCTCTCCCACTGCCCCAGCACCACCATCAAAGTTGTAAGAGTTTCCAGTGTGCCATGGGAGGTGACTACAGACCCAGGCACACAGGAGGCCTGGTCCTACCCCATGGCACCTGGCGCTCCTGCCTCCTCCGAGGCCAGTGCTGGCCACTCACCTGCTTGAAGATCTTGCTGTAGAGGACAGCGCACAGGGGTGAGGAGTGAGTTGTCATCTTCCTTGCTTTGGAAGGCCCCTGGGCCTTTAAGTACCCTTTCAGGATCCCGATCTGGAGGTGAGGAAAGGGGCAGAGAGCTGGTCTGTCAGAAGGGCTCTGCCCACTGTGGCAGGCCGCCAGGAGAAACTTCCAATAAACCATGACATTAAGACATCCTGAGCACATGCAGGCCTGATTCCAACAAGACTCCAGGCCCCCAGCAGGCCTGCTGATAGCTCGACCCTACTCCATGGCCCTGCCCCCTGGGACTGAGCCTCCCAAACCCTAGTGTTCCTGGAACCCCAAATTCCAAGTCCAGTATCCCTTTCACCTTATGACTTCTGAGAAGCTAAAAGCTCAATCAGGTGTTCCCTCCAGGAAGCTCCGCCCCGCCTCCCCCTTGTCCCAGGCGAGGCTAAGGATTTCTCTATGCTCTGAAAAGCACCGAGCACAGAATTCTACCATAATACATAACACTTTCTACTGAAATTTCTGTTTTTCTTCTACCCTGTAGGTTCCTAGAGAAATGGGACAGCATCTTTGTCATATATTCTCAGATCCCGACAAAAGGCAGGGGTTGGTAAGGTTTGTTGATCTCAAATGGACTTCAAAGGCCTATTTAATTCAACAAATGCTGTCCTCGACAAATGTCTGGCACTCAGCAAGGAGATAAAGGAACCCACGACCTTCCTTCTCAAGAAACCCACCTTATAACTTCTGAGAAGCTAAAGGCTGGGCACAGTGGCTCATGCCTGTAATCTCAGCACTTTGGGAGGCCAACGTGGGTGGATCATGAGGTCAGAAGTTCAAGACCATCCTGGTCAAGACGGCAAAACCCCATCTCTACTAAAAATACAAAAATTAGCTGGGCATGGTGGCAGGCACCTGTAATCTCAGCTACTCAGGAGGCTGAGGCAGGAGAATCACTTGAACCCAGGATGCAGAGGTTGCAGTGAGCCAAGACCACGTCATTGCACTCCATCCTGGGTGACAAGAGCAAAACTCCATTTGAAAAAAAAACAAGGAAAGAAAGAAAGAAAGAAACCTGCCTTTAGGGGAGAGCCAGCCAAGTGCATAAGGATGACACGTGTCACCAGCCAGAATGGCCCAGCCCACTGAGCATGGGAGGCCTCAGTGGAGCTCAACCATGAGTGGCACCTGCGCCTCCTTTCTGGGCTTCTGCTCCCATCTATGGGCTGTGGTTCAGCCTTGCAGCTCCCGAAGCCCTCATCCTCCACAGGAAGACCCTCCTGCCTGTCCCATCTTTCCTGTCCTCCAGGGTGAGGACAGACCTCACAGGGGTCCCCACTGGGTCCTGAGTCACAGATGGCCTGTTTCCTGGAGTTCATACCTTAGCAGGAAAAACAGTTATGTGGTAGTGACAGGGCAGTTACGAGGGTCTCGGCCGAGGGAAGGAACGGGGCTGAGAAAGCATGGAGGAAGGGCTCCTAACCAGCCTGAGGTTCAGGGTGGCTTCCAGAGGGAGAGGCTGAGGACACCTGAGTGGGAGCAGTGCAGACAGCAGCAGCGGCTGCATAGAGGGTGACAGGCTGGGGGCCTAGATTTCAGGAAATCCCAAGACACGGCCCCTCGTAGGCCAGACCACAGAGTCTCGCAGCCTCAGCAGGAGGGACGGATGTCCCATGGGATGTCAGACCCAGACCCTGGCCCTCTCCCTGTGGCCTCAACCCCACTTCCTCCTGGGACAGCTCTCACTGAGTAGGTGCTGCAGATGAGGGTATTGTCCTTCTCGAAGAAGTAGGCGCTGGTGATGGGGCAGTTTCCCAGGGCAAAAAACTTCCCACAAAAGGACTGGAGGCATATTTGGTCCAGCATGTCCCACACACGAATGTTCTGCGGGTGAGAAACAGACAAGAGGCGGAGGGTGGGTGCTGGGGATACAGCTGCTCCTGAAGCCTTGGGGGTACGTCTGGCGACCAAGGCCAGGCACATCATGCAAGCACTTCCGACACACACGCATGGTGTTGGCACCGTCACACCCAGCAGCAGAGAGGCTACTCTTGTGCTCAGATAACGCAGGTACACAGTGAGCGAGGGACAGGCATAGCTCTGCCCCCACACCTCCCCAGCCTGCCCCTAGGCCTCCGCCCTGCCAGAGCATCTGAATTAGTTGGCTGGGCACAAAATACCCAAGCCAGGCAGCACGTGCTGGGCCCGGGCCCTCCCTTGCTGCCACTCCAGTCTGGGACACAGTCTGTGAGTGGCTACCAACAGTTGCCACAATGGCCTGCCTATCCCCAGAGGAGCCCCTCCCACTCATCCCAGGCAAAGGAACTTTCCGTAGAGGGCCCACAGAAGTCCTTCCAAGACCTTCACTTCTTGGAGGCATCCTCTGCCTGTGGCTGACTAGGGGCCTCAGTGAGCCCGTCCCTGTCCCCATTCCCCCAGACTCAGACCCTTCATCAGAGGCAATGATCCCAGCTCCCAGGGCTTCTGGGAAGATGCCAGACAGGAGGGTGTATGGATGTGTTGGAGATGGTGGCTCAAGTGACTCTGAGGGCCCTGACAATTCTCCACCTCCAGAGTCCCAGAAAATGCAAGCTGTCCCCTCAAGGAGGGCCCGCAGCACCGCTGGCCCGCAGCCCAGAAGATGGGGCAGTATCCTGAGCCAGCAGCTACAGAGCAGCACAGTGGTGGGTCCTGAGTGGGAGCCCTGGAATGTGGGAAAAGCCAGGCCCAGCTCTGATGGCCAGGCAGCTGAGGAGGGGTCACTAGAGCCACTGAGAGGTAAAGATCAGGGCAGGGCAGCACGGGGGAACGGCTGTCACGCAGTGCACAACTCCCCTGCACCAGACGCTGCACTGCTGTTTTGCTGCTGGTTCTCTAAACCACTCAACAGCCCATTCCATGGATGGGAAGACTGAGGCTCAGAAAAGGGAAGGACTTACCAGGGTCACAAAGTCAGAAGCCAGGTTGGGTTACCTGGGAACCCAGCTCTGGGGACACACTCAGAGGCCCATGGCCACCCTCACCTTCCTTCCACCTGGGTCCCCTTCCACTAGGCCTCCAGCCAGATGTGGGGCTGTGGGCAGGGAGGTCACACCATTCCTTTGGCCAGTATGTTTCCCTGAGGAACAGAAGGAGTCAGGCGGACCATGGGGGCAGACCTTGTCCTTGGAGACACTGATGAGGATGCTGCTGTTCCTGCTGTCCACAAGGATGTGCGTCACCGAGGTCTGGTGTCCCTTCATCAGCCACAAGAACTTCTTTAAGACAAAGGGGTTCCACAGGCGGATGAAGGCATCGTAGCCACCAGTCACTGGGGTCAAGACATAGGTGTCAGTCCCAGGGGCCTCCACTGGGGACCTTCATCCAAGGCCAGGTCCTTGGCCCCCAGCAGGCTTGCCAGGTCCCTCATGACTCTGCCCCACCTGCTCCAGCCCCTCCAGCCGCCTCCCAGGGGGCCTGTCATCACACAGCCCTGGTGCCCAGAAGTGGGGAAAGGAGCAGCAGGAGAGGAAGCCAGACAGAGGCCAGAGCTGTGCAGCCGTCTCCTCAGCTCAGGTGGTGCCCCTGTCCCCAGCAGCCCTCCCCCCAGCAGCTTCTGGGTGACCTGAAGATGACCTACCCAGGAAGTTTCTGTCTGGACAGTAATCGAAGCAAAGAATTCCTTTCCTTAAATGCAGTGCTGACAACCTATAATATCAAAGGAGAGAGGGCTGCAGGGCTGGGAGCAGTGGCCCCAAGGGAGCCTCTGAGACTAAGACTGTGGTGGGGGGAGCTGGAGGCAGGGCCTCCCAGGAGGCCTGGGGAGGAGTCACTATCTCTCTACCCTAGGAGAGGAGCAGTCCTGGAGACCACCCAGGGCTCACCCTGCAGCCAAGCCCAGGCTCAGCACCACAGCCAAAGCAGTAGCCCAGTCCCAGCCCCAAACCAGCAGCCCACGGGGTAGATGGCACCTTCAAGGTAGAGACAGCTCCCAGGCAGGCAGAGACAGCTCCTAACATTTGCAAAGCATTTGGCCTCATTCCAAGGACAAACTTGATTTTCACATCAACTGTACTGGGACAGGCATCTTCCCATCCATGATACAAATCAAGAAAAAAGTGGGGGGCTCCAAGGGAGGGACGGAAAGAAGCTCCCAGGTGCCCTGCCCTGGCTACGTGTGGTCCCCACACAGGGTGCTGTCTCCTGTGTCAGCTGGACGCCGCACACAGTGCCCAAGATGGAACTGCCCTGTGCTAGGGACAGAGGCACCAAAAGGAAAAGTCAAGGAGGTTGCCCAAGGTCACACAGGTCACAAACGATGGGAGCTACAGGGTGTAAGACACGCTACACCAAAGTATGGCACCTTGGCATTTCAGACAACAGCAGAAGCAGCAGGAGGGCCACACTCGCCTTCCCCCTGAAGCAGGTCAGAACAGTCATTCCATAGGCGCCCACCCTATACCAGGAGAAAGGAATGGTCTTATTTCCTTTCTTTTTTATTTTTATTTATTTATTTATTTATTTTGAGACGGAGTTTCACTCTTGTTACCCAGGCTGGAGTGCAATGGCACAATCTCAGCTCACCACAACCTCTGCCTCCTGCGTTCAGGCAATTCTCCTGCCTCAGCCTCCTGGGTAGCTGGGATTACAGGGACGCGCCACCATGCCCGGCTAATTTTTTGTATTTTTAGTAGAGATGGGGTTTCACCATGTTGACCAGGATGGTCTCGATCTCTCAACCTCGTGATCCACCCGCCTCAGCCTCCCAAAGTGCTGGGATTATAGGCGTGAGCCACCGCGCCCGGCCCTCTTTTTTTGTTGTTAGAGTCTCACTCTGTTGCCCGGGCTGGAGTACAGTGTAGCTGGGATTACAGGTGTGTGCCACCAGGCCCAGCTAATTTTTGTATTTTTAGAAGAGACAGGATTTCTCCATGTCGGTCAGGCTGATCTCAAACTCCTGACCTCTCGAACTGTGCCTGGCCAGAATGTCCTTATTTCTGAAGACACAGGGACACAGAGGAGAATCTGGACCAACAGGCTCCTATCTCAGTTCATTACCATCAGATGGAACTAGTCCCGTTGTCCAGCATGACTATCCATTCTTCATCAAACTTCACATAAAAATACACAGGAGGCCGGGAGCAGTGGCTCACGCCTGTAATCCCAGCACTTTGGGAAGCTGAGGTGGGTGGATCACCTGAGGTTGGGAGTTTGAGACCAGCCTGGCCAACATGGAGAAACCCCGTCTCTACAAAAAATACACAATTAGCTGGACGTGGTGCAGGCCTGTAATCCCGGCTACTCGGGAGGCTGAGGCAGGAGAATCGCTTGAACCCGGAAGGCGGAGGTTGCAGTGAGCTGAGATTGCACAACTGCACTCCAGCCTGGGAAAAAGAGTGAGACTCCATCTCAAAAGAAAAAAAAACAAAACAAAACTACAAGTGTCTCTGTGTCTTTGCTTTTTTTTTTCCTGAAGGCTCCAATGTCACATGAAACTTAAATGTGCATGCTTTTCTCATTAGTCTGCCTTTTGTTATCACAGTCTCAGCCATAAACCTTGCAATGAATGAAGAAAAAATGATTCCTCCCGCACAGGGGTCAGAATTCAGACCAAGGGTAGGCATGGCAGGAGGTGGCAGAAATCTCAGTAACCAGCAATCCAGGAGAGGAGAGGCTTAGAGGGCCAGAGAGGCCGAGACAGGAGTTCCAGGAAGGCCAGGGCCCCACAGCCTCAGATGCTCTGTGCCTCTCATCCTCAACATCCTGCCCCGCCAGCTCCTTCTACTATACTCTCTCACCAAAACTCCATTCTGGCCGGGCGCGGTAGCTCATGCCTATAATCCCAGCACTTTGGGAGGCCGAGGCAGGTGGATCACCTGAGGTCAGGAGTTCCAGACCAGCCTGGCCAACATGGTGAAACCCCGTCTCTACTAAAAATACAAAAATTAGCTGGGCATGGTGGCATGTGCCTGTAATCCCGGCTACTTGGGAGGCTGAGGCAGAAGAACTGCTTGAACCCGGGAAGCAGAGGTTGCAGTGAGCTGAGATTGCACCACTGCACTCCAGCCTGGGTGAGAGAGTGAGACTCTGTCTCAAAAAAAAAAAAAAGAGGGCCAGGGCAAGCAGTTCAGATGGGAGACGATAGTGGCTTCAACCAGGTAGTGGTGGCAGGGGTGAAGGAAGAGGGAGCATCAGGGGAGATGCCAGGGGTCGGTCCACACAGCACCGGCTCCTATCACCACACTGGCTCCATCAGATTTGCTCCTGGCTTGAACCATCTGAGAACTCAGGGGAGGCGGGCTGCCGGGAAGCCAGACCCTCAGGCCCACGCTGCCTTGGAGGCTGAGGCTGACTCCAGAGGCAATGCCAGCCCCACCCACAGAGGCTTTGCCCTAAGATGGCATTGCCAAAATGGGAGACCAGCAAGTGGTCAATGATGCCACCTGCTGGCTAGTACTTTGTACTGCATGCAAACAAGAAAGCATGGGGTGCACCACCACACCCAGCTAATTTTTAAATTTTTTGTATAGGTGGGATCTTGCTGTGTTGCACAGGCTGGTCTTGTACTCCTGGCCTCAAGGGATCCTCCTGCCTTGGCCTGCCAAAGTGCTGGGATTACAGGTGTGGGCCACCACATCCGGCCTAAATGAAGTCTTTTTTTTTTTTTTTAAGACAGGGTCTTGCTCTGTCACCCAGACTGAAGGAAGGAAGGAAGGGAGTATGTGTCTCTATGTTTGTGTGTGTAAATATGTTCTCTACCTACCCCAAAAATACACCACCAATCCCTCCACCCCACAACACAAGCCAGCTCTAGGCCACCATCATATGCAGCCTCAACTATTGCAATGGCCTCCTCACTGGAGTCTCCATCGCCACCCCTGCCCACGGACACTCCACCTGCAATACATAAGTCAGACCACACCGGTTCTCTGCTCAAAACCATCCCAGAACCGTGTTTATATCTTGTTCCAAATATCGTAAGAAGATACTCTGAGGTACTTGGGGAAACGGTAACATGGACTAGCTACTAGGTGATAGGAAAGAATTTTATGATTTTATCTATTTTTTGTGTTTAAAACTTTTTATAATAAAAACATTAATTTAAAGTTAATTGATTTTAAAAATAAGAGCATACCAAGGGCAGCAGAGCTGTGCAAAGGCCCTGGGGCAGGAGCACACCTGAGCCTGAAGGAGGCCAGCGGAGCTGAGTGGGAAAGTGGAAGCAGAGAGGTCAGGAAGGCAGCAGGGCCGGCCCACAGAGGCCCTCCTGGCCCTGGTGAGGTGACCCCCTGATATCCTCCTGCCATCGGGGCTCAATAAAGCAAGATCTGAATGAAACACGTATCATATACATCAAGCTTGTCCAGCTCACGGCCCAGGGGCCTCACGAAGCCCAGGACAGCTCTGAATGTGGCCCAACACAAATTCACAAACTTTCTTATAACATTATGAGATTTTTATGTAATTTTTATTCAGCTCATCAGCTATTGTTAGTGTTAGTGCATTTTACGTGTGACCCAAGACAATTCTTCTTCCAATGTGGCCCAGGGAAACCAAAAGATTGGACACCCCTGATAGACACAAAGCGATACCATGATACCAGCACCCATGCAGACAGCCTCAGAAACAGCTCCAAGCAAACTCCCGCCACACAGCCCCATTCAAAGCACTGAACCCAAGACTGAAATCTCCCCTGCACATCAGACATTCCCAGAGGCCCCTTCCCAGCCTGCAGGGAGCTCCAGGACTTGTCTAGGAATGCACAGTGCACTGTTTGATTTAATATTCACTGGAGAGCCGGGCGCGGTGGCTCACATCTGTAATCCCTGCACTTTGGGAAGCCAAGGCGGGCAGATCACGAAGTTAAGAGATTGAGACCATCCTAGCCAACACGGTGAAACCCCATCTCTACTAAACATACAAGAATTAGCCGGGCATGGTGGCGCATGTCTGTAGTCTCAGCTACTCAGGAGGCTGAGGCAGGAGAATCACTTGAACCCAGAAGGCAGAGGTTGCAGTGAGCCAAGATCGCGCCACTGCACTCCAGCCTGGGCAACAAAGCATGACTCCGTCTCAAAAAAAAAAAAAAAAGGCACTGGACATATAATGAGGCCCAAGATAAAATTCCAGCCCAAGTGTCTGTTCTAAGATAGTCACTTCCCCTCCCTGAGCTTCAGGTTTCCCATCTGTAAAATCTCAAGATTAAATTTTCCTCTGAAAAACAACTGGGACAGATAGGGACAGACAGGGGTCCAAATGGTCCTCAGTCTCTGCCCCAACTCCACCCTGGCCTCACCCAGTCTCTCTCTCTGCCCATGCTGTTTCCCCAAAAAGACTCTCCTGGGGCTCATTCTTCAGCCTGTGCAGGAGCAAAATGTTACAGTCCCAGAGGCTCAAGGGAACAACTTGGGGCAGGAGGAAAACTGGAGGGGCAAGAGAAACCCAGCGGAAGACTCTGCAAGAGAACACGCCTCCAGTTCATCCACCAGAAACTGCACAGTAGAAGCTACACAATAAAAGAACAGAAGTGGTGGTTTTTGGTAACTGGGTCAGGGAATGGGGATTGAATGAGGAGGGGGTCTGTCAGGAGTTCAACCTTCTTTATAATGTTTTCATCTTTCATATGGACAACGCATTTAATACATTCTTGTGTGATTAACTGGTTTTTCAAAAGAAAAGAAAAAAATTCACTCGGGAGTAGAGGAATCTAGAGCCAAGGAAACAGATTGGAGCCATCTGCAAAGAACCAATGCTACCAGTTACCGAACATACCATGGATGATTCACTCACGTAACCCTGGAGGAAGTGCCGGACTTGCTTTCTTTTCTTTTCTTTTTTTTGACAGAGTCTCACTCTGTCGCCCAGGCTGGAGTATAGTGGCACAATCTCGGCTCACTGCGACCTCCACCTCCCAGGTTCAAGCTATTCTTCTGCCTCAGCCTCCCAAGTAGCTGGGATTACAAGCACGAGCTACCACACCCGGCTAGGTTTTTGTATTTTTAGTAGAGACGGGGTTTTACCATGTTGGCCAGGCTGGGCTCGAACTCCTGACCTCAGATGATCCACCCGCCTCAGCCTCCCAAAGTGCTGGGATTACAGGCATGAGCCACCGTGCCCGTCTGGAAGTACGTACTTTCACATCCTTTCACAGAGGAGGAAACTGAGGCTCACAGATGCGAAGGTAACTCATAGTCATCCCTTCATTAAGAAAACATTTCACTGACTGCCACTCACTCTGTGCTGGCTTCCATGCTGAGTTTTACATATAAATTGGGAGATGAAAGAGTCTGCTGTGTTCTCACCGTGCTGCTGGTGGCAATGCCAGAGACACTAGACTCCAGAGTCCACACTCCAACCACCATCCCCCACTGTCAGCCCAGAGGACAGGCCCCGCTTCCTGGGACCTGGTGCCATCTGCAGGCCACTGGTCTGCCCACCGGAGATGCCACTAACACAGAGATGGGTCCCCTCTTGGCAGGAATGTCCACATGTGGCTGAAGGGAAACCAGACCCTCACCATGGTCCACTCACCACCCGCCTCCCTTCCAACCCCACCGCCTCAGCCAGGAGAGAAGCGCTTCTTACTTGGGTTTCTCAGAGGCTTTGGCTGGCAATAGTGTCAGCACCACAGAGGACTTCTCAACGGCCGAACAGGAGACCACCAGGTTCATCTGGGGGATGAACTTGACCTGCTCACACCAGTTGGGATGGAGAGCCTGGAAAGACAGTGGCAATGGTGGAAGACTCCACCCAAGGACCACTTTCCAGGCCCAGCCCCCAGAACATGGCCAGGTGTTGGGGCTGGAGGTGCCCAGAGATCATGGAGTCTAATGCCTTTCTCCTGGTGATCACGAAGTCCTCACCCAGGTCCTGTGACAGCACTGGCCACCACTTGTCACTGAAAATGCATAAAAGCACACAAGCCTACTTTCATTTGAAATCTTGTAAGTCAGAGGATGGGGAAGGTCAGGCCCATAATAATCTCCCGGGAGGGGAGAGAAAGGATGAACTGGAGTCTGCCCCGTCCAGTCTGGTATCCACAGGGAGTCCCCACTGTGATGGGCTGTGCTCCTGGCCCACTGCCACCCTCCGTGTCTGTCAGAACATGCAGTGCTCACAGAGGCACGGACGCCATGAGCATGAGCACTTTGCTGCAATTTGAGCCCCAGAAGAATGGCACGCAGCCGAGAGGGCTGGCTGGGCTCTGAATTCTCCGGCTCCTACTCTGTGACCTGGACCAGTGCTTGGCCTCCCAGTCTGGAGATTTTCCTCTCCAGGACAAGAATGGAAATGGTGGGTTGGAGAGACTGGCTCATCAAATACTTGTTCAGTGCTTTCCACATGCAAGGCCCTGAGCCGGGTTTTACACACGCTCACCAGGCATCTGTCGCAATGCAGGCACCAAATCCAAGAAACTGAGTGAGACCTGAGACGCTGAACAGCATGGAGGGAAACCTAAGCCCAAAATGAGTTTCCCCCAGAAGACAGAAGAGCAGGCGTGGTGCTCACACCCGTAAACCCAGCACTTTGGGAGGCCAAGGTAAGTTGACCAGCCTGGGCAACATAGTGAGGCCCCGTCCCAAATCAAAAAAATAGCTGGGTGTGGTGCTTGTATTCCCAGCTACTCCAGGGGCTGAGGTGGGAGAATCACCTAAGCCTGGGAGGTCAAGGCTGCAGTGAGCCATGATCACACCACTGCATGCCAGCTGGGGCAACAGAGTAAGACCCTGACCACCCCCAAAAAAGGGAGAGTTAGTGCAGGCCTGTTGGACCACACAGACCTGCCCAGAGTGTGTCCTTCATTTATTCATTCATGCAGCAAATGTACTGGGAGCCCATCAAGCGAGGGGTATTGTTTTAGGCACTGGAGACAGAACTGAGGGCACGAAGTCCCTGTCCTCAAGGAGCTGTGGATCTCGTGAACGTGACAGTGTGAGGAATCAGTGGACGAACCACATAAAGCTGGGGGCTGGCACATGCCAAGGGCAAAGGGAAGAAGGCAGAGGTGGGTGGGCGCAGGGCTGTCCTAGGATGGCTGGTTAGGACCAAAGGAAGTAGACGGGGAATACGGGGCCCTTCAGGGAGAGCCCTGCAGCCTGAAGGCATAGCACATGTGGAGACCCAGAGGTGGGAAGGGGCTGAGCGAATTCGGGGAACAGCAAAGGAGCCTGTGCTCTGCAGGAGAGCGAATGGGGAGGAGGAAGGTTGGAAACAAGCCCAGAGCTTGCAAGCAGGGGCCAGGTCACCTCAGGTCCTGATGGCCGTGGTAAGGACTTGAGATTTTTTTGCCAAATGTGATGAGAAGCTACTGGGGTGACTCAACCGTATTTCTTTTTTTTCTTTTTTTTGAGACAGAGTCTCACTCTGTCACCCAGGCTGGAGGGCAATGGTGCAATCTCGGCTCACTGAAACCTCCACCTCCCAGGTTCAAGCAATTCTCCTGCCTCAGCCTCCCAAGTAGCTGGGACTACAGGCACACACCAACACACCCAGCTAATTTTTATGTTTTTAGTAGAGACAGGATTTCACCACGTTAGCCAGGATAGTCTCGATCTCCTGACCTCGTGATCCGCCTACCTCAGCCTCCCAAAGTGCTGGGATTAGACGCATGAGCCAGCACACCCGGCCAACTCGACTGTATTTCTAACTCATCATTTCTCTGGCCCTGAATGGAGACAGTGCTGCATGAAGAAAGGAAGTGGGGAACCCAGCCAGAAGCCACTGCAGCCATCCAGGAGCGAGGCGCTGTCGGCCAGGACCAGGGCTTAGCAATGGCGGTCGTGAGAGGGGCAGGGCCACACTGAGATGTTATCTACAGACAGAGCTGACCGGATCCAACAGCTGCCTCGACCTGTTCCCAGAGACCAAACCCCAAGGGCTAAGACTGAACCCAGGGAGTAAATCCACTTTTTGCATTTACTTTGCGTGGTACACATGTACAGATAATTACCATCGTAACAAACCAAGGAAAGAAACAACTCACCTTCAGCCAGTAACTTCTGTACAAAGCAGACTTCTCATTTAAGAGTGTCTGCATGGAAACGTTGATCCAGTGATCTGATAGGGAAAAAAAACAAGGTTCACATCAGCTGCTTTCCCCCTTTACTGGCAAGCAAAGCCTCAGAAGATGTTGATTTGAAAATCCTGTGCTTCTCAGAAGGCTTTTCCACCCAAACCTGACTGGCAGCTCACCGTGTCCTGGTGAGCTCAGTGGAGTGCTCTACCCCAGGAAAAAGACTCAGGCAGATCAATGCTGCCTCCCAGAGGGCCCCCGCTAGTGCTCGGCAGGACGGAACCAGATTTCAGGACTCCTCACACTTGCTTGGTGCTGCTATCTAAACAAGCTGATTCTTCATTAGGGAGCTCCAGCTTTGCTGGAGTGGAGGAGGAATCGAGACTCCAGGCTCTTTATTCTGACAAGTAATCACTTGGGTGTTTGCCATCATGCCTCAAACTACATGCGCTCCTTGTCCAGAAAGCACAGGTTCCAAAAAGTAGAAGTTCCTGGCATGCATCCTAAAACAAGCACGTCTGGGCCAGGCGCAGTGGCTCACGCCTGTCATCCCAGCACTTTAGGAGCCCAGGGTGGGAAGATCACTTGAGGCCAGAAGTTAAGAGACCAGCCTGGGCCCAGGTGGCTCACGCCTGTAATCCCAGCACTTTGCGAGGCCAAGGAGGGTGGATCACCTGAGGTCAGGAGTTGGAGACCAGCCTCTACAAAAATACAAATATTAGCCGGGGATGGTGGTGTGTGCCCATAATCCCAGCTACCCAGGAGGCTGAGGCAGAACTATCGCTTGAACCTGGGAGGCGGAGGTTACAGTGAGCTGAGACTGTGCCACTGCACTCCAGCCTGGGTGACAGAGCGAGACTCCATCTGGAAAAAAAAAAAGATCCCAGCCTGGACAACACAGTGAGAAGCTATTTCTACAAAAAATCAAAAAAATAAAACATTAGCCAGAAATAGTGGTGGTGTGCCTGTGGTCCCAGCTACTCGGGAAGCTGAGGTGGGAGGATCACTTGAGCCCAGGAGATTGAAGCTGTAGTGAGGCATGATCACACCACTACACTCCAGCCTGGGCAACAGAGCATGACCTTGTCTCAAATTTTTAAAAATATATAAATAAATAAATAAAAATCCATTTTAAAAATACTTAAAAATAAATAAAACAAGCACATCTGGAGGAATTCAGACATGCCAGGTGCAGCCCTCACGGGGCTTGGAGTCTCCCGGCCGCCAAAACCATTCAAGGCCAGCAACTGATGAATCTTCGGGGAAAGCCAAGCCAACCAGACACAGATGAGTGGGGCCAGCACTGTCAGGGACAAATGTGGGTCCTCCGTCAGGGCAGCTTAAGGAGGCAGGTCAGAAGTGCCGGGGCACTCTAGGCTCAGGTTTCCTCCCAGGGCTCGAGGAGAAAAGAGGCCACAAGCACCGATCTGGGGGCTCAGGCCAAGCATTTCACTGCTGTAAAGTCACCAGCCCCATCCTGCAAGGGCAGGAGGAAGCTTGCAAAGGAAGTTCCAGGGAGGGGTGGAAAGTTGCCCAAGACTGCCAAAGTGGGGCTGGTCGCGCCCGGGCACAGGCAGGCGTCAGCTTTATGATGCACTGTGGTTTAGCTGTCAGTTTACCTGCCTGTCTCTCCCACTGGGCTGTCAGGTCCCAGGGAGGGCAGGGAGGAAGTCATAGTCACTGCACACTTACTAGGTGCCTAACGTTCCACAGATCTTTTATTTTTTAGATGGAGTCTCGCACTGTCACCCAGGCTGGAGTGCAGTGGCACAATCTCACCACTGCAACCTCTGCCTCCCAGGTTCACGTGATTCTCCTGCCCCAGCCTCCTGAGTAGCTGGGATTACAGGTGCACACCACCACACTCGGCTAATTTTCTTGTATTTTTAGTAGAGATGGGGTTTCACTATGTTGGCCATACTGGTCTCAAACTCCTGAGAGTTTGCGGCTCCTGATCCGCCCACCTCGGCCTCCCAAAGTGCTGGGATTACAGGCATGAGCCACCGTGCCTTGTCCCACATGTCTTATACCAAAGCCATCAATGAAGTAGGCCCATACCCCTTTGAATAAGGTAACTGAGGCACAGAGAGGTTAAGCAACTGGCTCCAGGTCACATAGAGCTGGGGTGCGTACGTGGGTCCGTCCATCTCCTCCCAAATCTACACACTGGGCCCACCTCATCCATAGAGCTGGGGTGCGTACGTGGGTCCGTCCATCTCCTCCCAAATCCACACACTGGGCCCACCTCATCCATAGAGCTGGGGTGCGTACGTGGGTCCGTCCATCTCCTCCCAAATCCACACACCGGGCCCACCTCATCCAGAGAGCTGGGGTGCGTACGTGGGTCCGTCCATCTCCTCCCAAATCCACACACTGGGCCCACCTCATCCATAGAGCTGGGGTGCGTACGTGGGTCCGTCCATCTCCTCCCAAATCCACACACTGGGCCCACCTCATCCATAGAGCTGGGGTGCGTACGTGGGTCTGTCCATCTCCTCCCAAATCCACACACTGGGCCCACCTCATCTTCATGATTGTCCCCAGCCTTCAATCAGATGACATGGAAGGACTCCTGCCCAACATTCCAGTGTCGTCTGCCTCCCTCAATATCCCATTCACCACCACAACCTCCCATGCCAGTTCCCAGGGTGGCACAGAGAGACGAGGCCCAAGCAGCTGAGTGGGCAGCTCAGGGCAGGGCAGGCACCCAAGGCTGATGAGGCAAGCAGGTGCCAGCCCACTGCTATGTCCAGGACAGGATCTGTCCCTGCCCTGTCAGCGTAGGAGGCTGCCCCAACAAGCCTGCCAGGGGGCTGCCACCAAGGCCTGGGAAGCCCTGGAGTGTCCCGCTTAGTATCTCTGGCTGGAAGAGGGGTCGATGTCCCTGTGTGGGCCCCCTGGTGGATATGCGTGCAAGGCTGGATTCCAGAGAGGCTCCAATTCAGATGGGTTCCCTAGGTGGCCCCGAGCCATGTCCTCTGGAGATCTAGTGACCTGGGCATAACAGCTCCAGTGACCCTCCTGCGTTTAGTCAATGTGGGATGTAGCCCACAAAAGGCTGACAGCACAGACTCCAGGGCAGGGAGCCTGACCTCAGATCCTCGCCCTGCTCACCCAGCAGGGGCGTGCGCAGCTGACCTCACCCCTCTCTGCCTCTTATTCTGCGCTGCAGCCACAGCTCCTCCCTCCTGACAGTAGGCCCAGCAGGGGGTGCTCCAGACGCTGGTGCACCCACTCACCCATGCCAGCCAGGCCATGCCCAAGCCCCACAGAGCCCACCTCCCGGACAGCCCCTGCCCACCCAAAGGCAACACCAGAGCCAAGGAGAGCAGAAGCCTCCTCACCACCATCCCAGGAAGTTAGCATCAGCGCTCTCACCCAGGATCAGAGTGGATGAGGGACTTCCCCATGGTCCCCCCCACTGGCATCATCCTGGGGTGAGAAGCATCCAGCACCCCTCAGCTGCACCCGTGCAGCCTCCCATCCACAGAGAGGCTGCCCTCTCCCCAGCCCTCCTGGTCTTCTGCTGCCCATCACCTCTCCCTCTGCACTCTGAGCTGAGCGGCACGCACCCTGCACTCAGAAAGACATCTTCCCAGAGGCTCCCAAGCAGAAACAGGGAGTGGGGGGCATGGGGATCAGGATGGGCTCAGCACCCACATCTAGGCCATGCCCAGGCCTCCGCCCCCTTCCCCCAGCATCTTAGCTACCCCACTTGGAGGCCCTGGGGAGGATACGGGGGTTGAATAGCCCACTGGCCACGTTTTCGGAGGTGAAGACGATGACGTTGCCCTTGGCGTCCCCATAGCAGAACACACCTCGGTGATAGTCAGACCTGGGGAAACACAGGAACAGAAGAGGCTGTGTGGGCTGGGAATGGTGGCCCACCCCTGTAATTCCAGCACTTTGAAAGGTCAAGGCAGGTAAATCACCTGAGGTCAGGAGTTCGAGACCAGCCTGGCCAACATGGTGAAACCCGATCTCTAAAAATACAAAAATTAGCTAGGTGTGGTGATGGGCACCTGTAGTCCCAGCTACCCAGGAGGCTGAGGCAGGAGAATAACACTTGAACCTGGGAGGTGGAGGTTGCAGTAAGCCGAGATGGTGGCACTGCACTCCAGCCTGGGAGACAGAGGAGGACTCCATCTCAAAAAAAGAAGAAAATAAAGAGGCTGTGGAGCCTCTGCTTCCTCTCTGGACCCCCAACAGCCTCCCTCCTTCTTGGAAGCAAGGGCAGTTCGAACAAGACTTTCCAACCTTGCCCAGAAACCTGATGAGCCAACAAACACGGGCCCAGCAGACCAGCTCCTGCCAATCACTGAACCAGGATTCCATTTTTTTTTTCAACCAAATAAAGGAATCCCTAGTCCTCCAGCTGCCCTTTGTCAAGTCACCCCTCCCAATAGACTGTGACGTCCACAGAATCCTCAGCCACAGCCAGAGAAGCTTCTGCTGGGATTTGATGGCCATATTGGGTGAGGGAGTGACAATGACTCCAAGCTCTGAGTGACCCTGTGGGAGGAGGACGCAGGGGCCTCAGAGCCAGTGGGGAGATCTTTCCAGGGCTGTTTCCCAGGAGGCTTTCAGGGGGCTCCAACCCTAGCCAGTGATGCGGCTGCTGCCAAGACTCCAAGCACCTGGGGGAGACTCACCAGTAGTCCATGACCAGGGCACAGCTGTCCAGATCAATGAAGGTGAAGGCCCGGACACACTTGTGATCACTAATATCAAAGAACTCTGGGGGAGAGACAGAAGCCACATGGAGCCCAGGCCATGACTGGGAGGTCTTCAGGCACAATGAGCAGCCTCCTGGCTCTCCCAAGGAATCTGCCCCCTTCAGTCCTTCAGCCCTTCTCCCCCAGAGCAATCATAAGCAGCTGTTCACAGAGTAAACCCCCCAACTGGGAACCCCACTGAAAACCCCCAATGGCTTCCCACTGCAGCTGGAATAAAATCCCAGGCTGGATGTGTTGGCTCATGCCTGTGATCCCAGCACTTAGGGAGGCCAAGGGAAAAGTATTGCTTGAGCCCAGGAGTTTGAGGCTGCAGTGAGCAGTGACTGTACCACTGCACTACAGTCGGGGCGACAGAGCAATTTAAAAAAAATCTGACTCCTTCCAACAGATCCAGCCTCACTTCCAGACTGATGAGCAACAGCCTCGCCGCCAGGCTGTCTCCACATCTGAACGGCAGTCTCTTGCCTTCCTCTGCCTCTCTGCATGGCCAGCCACCCCAGAGGGCTGTGAGTCAGAAGAGGAGCCCTGGCTGGGCTGGGCTGGAGCCACAAAGGCTAGAGGTCACACCGGTGCCACTTCTACCCCTGCTTCTGGCCTTGACTGAGTGCCTCCAAGCAGGTGACAGCTGCTACATCCAGATAGCAGTGATGACATATGATCTCTAAAATGGGTTTGTGGGCTGGGTATAGTGGCTCACGCCTGAAATGCCAGCACTGTGGGAGGCTGAGGCAAGTGAATCACCTGAGGTCAGGAGATGGAGACCAGCCTGGCCAACATAGTGAAATCCCATCTCTCCTAAAAATACAAAACTTAGCCAGGCCTGGTGGTGCGTGCCTGTACACCCAGAAGCCTGATGAGCTGACAGACACAGGCCCGGAAGACCAGTCCAGCCCATCACTGAACCAGAAACCAATACTTTTTTTTCAACAAAAATAAATGAATCCCTAGTCCAGCTACTCAGGAGGCTGAGACAGGAGAGTCACTTGAACCCAGAAGGCAGAGGTTGCAGTGAGCCAAGATTGCACCACTGCACTGCAGCCTAGGCAACAGAGTGAGACTCTGTCTCAAAAAAAAAAAAAATGGGGTTCTAATGCCAAATTCTCAGGTCTGTCTGAGGATGAAAAGCCAGAATGCCTGGGACAGCACTGGATCCCCAGGAAACAAGTGTTGCAATGGAAAGCCCAGGTGTGAATTACAGAGAGATTGCTCTAGCCGGCCGACCGCTTTCTCTGTATCACACAATTTAGCCTCATAATGATGTCAATGTTGATTAAGAGCCCACTCTGTGCCAGGCACCACGCCAGGAGCTTCACACACCTAACCACTAAGCCACACCCACCCTGGAGCCATCTATCATTGGCCCCATTTTACCTCTCGGTAAAGTGAGGCACTGGGAGGTAAAGTAATTGCTCAAAGGCAGACATCTACAGAGCAGTGGGACCAGGGTCTGAATCCTTCTGATTCCAAAGTCCCTGCTTGTTCCAGAACAGCTGCTCTCTCTCCCCCCATTCAGCCTCACATTGCCAGCTGTAGTTTCAGGTATGAATATCCTCTTCCTGACCACCTTACAGGTGTGCTCAGTCAGAGGCTCATTCATCATCCATCCATTCAACAGTCATCAAGCAGCCAGGAGGTGCCAGGCACCAAGATACTGAGTTGAGCAGAACAGATGCAGTCCCTGACCTCATGGAGCTTCCAGTCTGGAGGAGGAGACACGTGCTGAACAGAAGCACACTAATGCATGTGAGATGACACTGAAAGGGGGACCTTGAAAGGAAGAGGTACAATCTCACGGGGTCTTACTAACAGAGGATCTTGGACTAGCAGGTCAGGGAGGGCTTCCTGGAGGAAGCAACTTCTGAGATGAGAGCCAAAGGAAAAGCAGAGGCTGTGGGGGCAGAGAGAGGGGCAGGAGGGATGGCAGAGCAGAGACTGAGGCCACAGCACCTGTCAGAGGAGGCGAGAGGAGGCCACAGTGGCCTCAGCACCACAGGGAGGGGACAGGTGGGGACTACTGGAGGCAGCAGGGGTCAGACCTCTGAAGGTCTCATAGACCACACTGAGGATCCCACCTCCATCCTAAGAGCACTGGGGTAGGGTGAAGGCTTTCTGCAGAGGGGCACTGTAAATGCGCATCCTGCCTTTGGGGGCATGAGGGGAAGCATGGCATGCAGGAGAGGCTATTTCAGTGAGAGTGAAGGTGGCCTGGACTAGGAGTGACAAGAGGCAGGAAATAGAATTGGGACCGGAGAGAGACTGGTTATGGGCTCTGGCTCGTAAATGCAGTTCTGTTCAACATCACTGGGTCACACGAGCATTCACTGACCATCCCCTGCCTACTCGGCACTGAGGCCTCACCACCTGGCCATCCTCCCAGGGGCTCTGATCCATGTTCACAGTTGCTCAGCCAACAGACCTCTCCCAGGCACCAATACAGGGCCCCCAGTGGCTGAGAGCAGGGCTGGGGCGCCCCCAGGGACTCACCTATCTTTTGCTTGGTAGATGCAATCGCAACGAGGTTTATATTGTGCAGACATACCATGTCGATTACCCACATCGGCTGGTTGTGGAGCTGCTGGGTCTGGTTAAGCTGCCAGAGGAAGAGCAGAGGAGACAGGCTGGGAAGCATGCCCAGGCCAGCACAGCTCCCTGTGAACCACTCCTGCCACGTGAGGCCCTGGAGCCACCCCAGACCTGGCATGGAGCCCAGCACTACCACTAAGACTAGAGATGGGGGCCCTGGATAAACTCCCCAGCCTCCCTGAGTCTGTTTCCCCATCTGTAAAATGGGCTTAAAAAACACCTTCTTGGGGCCAGGCACAGTGGCTCACAGCTGTAATCCCAACACTTTGGGAGGCCGAGGTGGGCAGATCACCTGAGGTTGGGAGTTCAAGACCAGCCTGACCAACATGCAGAAACCCCATCTCTACTAAAAAAAGAAAAACATATATAGGGCCGGGGCGGTGGCTCAAGCCTATAATTCCAGCACTTTGGGAGGTCGAGGCGGGTGGATCACGAGGTCGAGAGATCGAGACCATTCTGGTCAACATGGTGAAACCCTGTCTCTACTAAAAATACAAAAAATTAGCTGGGCATGGTGGCGTGTGCCTGTAATCCCAGCTACTCAGGAGGCTGAGGCAGGAGAATTGCCTGAACTCAGGAGGCGGAGGTTGCGGTGAGCCGAGATCGCACCATTGCACTCCAGCCTGGGTAACAAGAGCAAAACTCCATCTCAAAAAAAAAAAAAAAAATATATATATATATATACACACACACACACACACACACACACACACACACACAAAATTAGTCAGGCCTGGTGGTGCATGCCTGTAACCCCAGCTACTTTGGAGGCTGAGGCAGGAGAATTACTTGAACCAGGGAGGTGAAGGTTCTGGTGAGCTGAGATCTCACCACTGCACTCCAGCCTGGGCAACAAGAGTGAAACTCTGTCTCAAAAAAAAAAGACCACCTTCTTTACAATCCCCTTCTGGAGCAGTCTCACAGTTCTATCAAAGTCTTGGCTGCAATGAGCTGTGAACACACCACTGCACTCAAGCCTGGGCAAGAGTGAGACCCTGTCTCAAAAAAAAACAAAAAAACACCAAAGTCTTGAATATGCATAGCTCATGAACCAGGGATCTGTTTCCAAGACGTTTCTATGGGGGTGTTTGCATGTACTCAAAGGGGATGGGGCAGCTGCTGTTAGAGCAACAGGCCAGAAGCCACCTGGAAAGCACAGCTGATCTCAACCCACACCACCGACAACACCCAGATGCTAAGAACAAGGGAGCTGTGCACATGCCAATAAAGAAGAGTTGCCAAGAGATATTAGTGACAAACCAAGGTAAAAAGCAGCATTATAATATGCTTCCATTCGCACATTTAAAAAGAAAAGGGCACAGTGGCTCACACCTGTAATCTCAGCACTTTCAGAGGCCAAGGCAGGAGAATCACTTGAGCCCAGGAGTTTGAAACCAGCCTGGGCAGCATAGGGAGACCCCCATCTCTATAAAAAAAATTTTTTTTAATTAGCTGGGTATGGTGGGGCAGGCCTGTAGACCCAGCTACTTGGGAGGCTGAGGTGGGAGGACCCCTTGAGCCCAGGACGTTGAGGCTGCAGTGAGCTGTCATTGCAACACTGCACTCCAGTCTGGGTGACAGAGCAAGACCAAAAGAAAGAGAAAAGAAAAGAAAGGGAGTGGGGGAGGGAAAGAGAAAAGAAAAAAGAAAGAAAGAAGTAAAAGGAAAGGAAGGAGAGAGAAAGAAAGAAAAGAAAAGGAGAGGGGTATATAGAGAGGCTAGTCATGGAAGACCACCCCGAAACTGGTCATAGCAGTTGCCTGCAGGGAGAGGAAGTAGGAACTGGGGGAAGGAAGACTGACTTCCACTGTCTGCCCCTCCATAGATCTGAATCCTGTTTTCCATTTGCAGGTATCACCTGGTCAAAGAGGCTTACTAACAAGAATTCGTTCTGCAAAGTTGCGAGGGATGAATGGAATAAGGAAAGCTAAAGTGGCCATGCACAGTGGCTCATGCCTGTAATCCCAGCACTTTGGGAGGCCGAGGTGGGGGGATCACGAGGTCAAGAGATCAAAACCATCCTGGCCAACATGGTGAAACCCTGTCTTATTAAAAATACAAAAAAAATTAGCTGGATGTGGTGGAGCACACTTGTAGTCCCAGCTACTCGAGAAGCCAAGGCAAGAGAATTGTTTGAACCTGGGAGGCAGAGGTTGCAGTGAGCCGAGATCACGCTACTGCATTCCAGCCTGGGCAACAGAGCAAGACTCTGTCTCAAAAATAGAAACAAGAAAGTTAAAGCATTGAGGGTGGTGCCCAGCACTCAGTAGGAGCCCAGCACCGGTGCCTCCTGCGCTCACGTAACATGCACACAGACAGAATTGGGCTGGCACTCTGCACGAGGGAAGCCACGCGCAAAGCCAGGTCAGCAGAAATGAGCTGCTGTGTCCTAGGGAAGAGGGGAGGCCAGCCTACTTGGCTTAGAGTTGAAGAGGAATCAGAGATTAGATGGGTGTGGCCACCTAAGGAATCTGTATTTTACTCTCTTTTTTTTTGAGACTGAGTCTCACTCTGTTGCCCAGGCTAGAGTGCAGTGGTGTGATCTTAGCTCACTGGAACTTCTGCCTCCTGGGTTCAAGTGATTCTCGTGCCTCAGCTTCCTGAGTAGCTGGGATTACAGATGTGCGCCATCACATCTGGCTAATTTTTGTATTTTTAGTAGAGATAGGGTTTCACCATGTTGGCCAGGCTGGTCTCAAACTCCTGACCTCAAGTGATCCACCTGCCACGGTCTCCCAAAGTGCTGGGACTACAGGCATGAGACCCCATGCCTGGCCCTGTATTTTATTCTCTGAATGACACCACAGCCTCTGAACTGAAGAAAGCAGAAAGAAATATTATCTGAAAAGCTGGGAGGAAGGAGCAGGGAGGAACGTAAACCAATTCCTCTAGATGGGTATTCAGAAGCAGTAAGGAAGGCAGGGGCAGAGAGGAGCCTGTTCCATCAGAACTCAGGGCATCAAGAGAAGAGAGGACTGTGCTGTTGGGCTCCCCAGGTGGTTCTGATGATGAAGACTGGGCCAGAAACCCCCTGAGTCCCTCTCTTCTGCCCAGGGCTAGAGTCTAAACCACATACACTGGTAGGGCTTTGGAACTCCCACTACCCACACTGTTCAGATGAGAATCAAAGAGCCCTAGAGAGTTTCAGTGACTTGTACCCAAGATCATATAGCTCTTGAGTGGAGCTCAGCGCCTCCCCACAACTCAAACTTGAGGTCTTTCCATCTGCATGACAGTGGTTGTGTGGTCCTGGGATGCCAACTCCTGCTAAAGCAGCCCCTCCAGGAAGAAACTGGCTCTGCTGGGCCTTCCCAGTGAGCCTTCCTCTGTCCCCTTCAGCCTTTGGAGGTGCTTCAGTGACCATGTAGCAGCCACAAGCAGGAGCTCTGGCTACAACATACCCTGCTCCAGTCCACATACAGAAAAGCAAGATGGACAGCTGTGGGAATTCACTCAGGGTAGTAGCAAAAATATTAAGGGAAAAATATTAGAGAAAGTTATAGAATATAGTCTCAAACCCTTTTGGAAGGCATAAGGGTTTTTTCTGTAGTTCTTGGCTGAAGGCAGCCAGAGTCTCTTTGCAGGAGCCAGAGAGATTAGGGTGCAAATACAAAGGAATTTAAGTAGTTTATCTAGCTAGCTTGTTTACTCATGTGGTCTTAAAAGTAACCTTTGAGCCAGATAGTCCTCTCAGGGGAAGGTCAACCAGGGATATTACCCTCTAATTGGTGTTTGCTTTGGGCATCAGAACCTGTGCTTGAAACTCCAAACTCCAGTGGTATTGACTCAAGCCTTTGTCAGTTAAATTTTATGAATAAATGCAAGTCTCACTGGCTGGTGGGGGCTGGTGGTCACAACTGTTTACAGTACTCTCCAGGGAGTCTGTAAGTGACCATGGACCCTCATCTGAACTGGCAAAGCATAATGTCTGTGTGTCAGTGTGCTTTATTCATCCACAGCTGAGTTGGGATCTGCAGGACAGACCCCGCAGGTGTTGACCCCGACAGTGCCACCCAACATGGGATGACACCAACAGAGGGCTATGGTAGCCACAGCCTCAGAACAGCAATCATGACTCCCTCTTGGTGCACCCAGGAGGGCCATGGGACCTCCACACACCCTAGTTCCACCCAGGCCTCTTCTTCCCCAAAGGCTGAGCCCTGATGCAAATGTGAATCAATCTGCATTTACAAAGGCTTAGAAAGCCCTTTCTCTGGGGGCTGCATTCTCAATAAGCCTTTCTATAGAGCCCTGGAGAGCAGTGCTTTTCTCATCTGCTGGAAGATTCTGGACTGGCCTAGAGACCAAGTACAAAGCAGTTCTCCTGAGCGTCTTCTCACTTACTACTCTCAGCCAGGAGCTGGCAGCACCAAGACAATGGTGATGTCAGCTTAAATCCAGCGGGGACTTGCTGCATGCCCTGCCCTGCCCCAGGCACCACACGTTTTACATCATCAAGGGTTCCCAACCGCACTGGGAAGAAACACTACAACTAGCCCCATTTAACAGATGAGGAAACTGAGGCACAGAGAGTATATAGTAAGTAGCTTGTCCAGGTCACGGAGCTGGCAGGTGGTACAGTCAGGATTCTAACCCTGGCTGTTGGGCTCTAGAGCCCATGCTCACAACCACTATGACTTCCTGCCTAGATCAGGCAAAAAACCTGAATCAGCAGGACCTGGGGACAGCATGGGAGTGGCTGACCCTAGCACAGGAGTCTTGGGGATGACAATGCCATTCACTGAGATGGGGATGCAAGAGAAGGAAACCCAGTAGGCAGGGACAGCTGAAGGGACGTGCTATTTGGGCTAATGGGTTTGAGGGGTTCTGGGAGACGCCTGCATGTGACAGACATCCAGGTGGAATCCTGCTTAGCAGAAGGGAAATGCACGGCTCCCACAGGGAAGCCAAGTCAGGACCCAGGTGCTGTGACTGCAAGTCCAGGCTGCTCAGACCATGAATCTACCTGGGTCCAGGTCACCTTCACCTTCGGGGTGCTAAGGCAGAGGCCCTCTGATGACCCATATGTGCACCATGCGCACGGGTCCCACTCACCCTAAAGGAGCTGATCAGCGAGAAGGACTCGGACCAGAACTGCAGGATCCCATCTTTGGTGACAGTCAGGAAACACCCAATCTTCTTGAACCGGTGGATTAAAAATGCCACCTTCACCACCTCACAGCCATGGTTCCTGTGGAATGTGATGAGACAGAGAAGAGCTCAGGCAAAAACAGCTCAGGGAGGGGGCACCTGCAGCAGAACAGAGAACCACTGAGAAGGAAGGACAAAAGCCAGCAGAGCGTCACGCACAGTCACACACAGGCCAGGAAACCATAGCCCCCTCCTCCACGCAGGTTTCTACTGGATCATCAACAGTGGCCAAAAGAGAAAGGGCCCCAGAAGCTGGTATGAGATGGGGCTCCAGAAGCGAGAGGCAGCAAGCTTATCCTGCAAAGTAGCCAGCCAGCCTCCTCATGACATGGTGTGACAGAGAAGACAGAACAGAGGTTGCTCACAAAGCTTCTTTCATAGGAAAAACCACCCACAGAAGGTGAGCAGAGTGGAGCCTGAGGCTGAAAACTGAGAAACAGCACTTTCTAGCAACTGCTCTAGTGCTCTAGGGTAGAGGGGGGAACAGAACCCAAGGATGAGATCAAAGAGGATGAGGGGCAGTGGGGAACTAGGGCCCCATGCACCAAACAGGCTTCAGTAGTCTCCTCTGGGGGCTGCTTCCCTGTCACCTGGGAGGAAACCCCTATCCCTGCCTGTGTCTGCCACCTGGGCCACCTGGACCCCTGTGATGAAACTGCCAGACCCACTCTGCACCAACTAGCACAGGAAGCAGGAGAAGCGATGCGGTATATTGACTGGGGAATGGGGGCTGAGAAGGCCAAACAGAGCAGCCCTGCCATTTTCTACTTATTGGCCTGGGGCCAGCCATTCGACCTCTCCAGTCCTCAGTGGCCTCATCTATAAAATGGGGACAAATCACCTACCTTAGCCCTAACACTTACAGGGCCGTGAGGTTGAAATGAGCCAAAGGGTATCAGGCAGCAGGCTGACGCCAGCCCTGGTCAGCACCAGCAAGGTCATGGATTGAGGGAGGGGCTAGATGCAAGCTGGCACCAGCACTTGTCCAGTCACCCCCACCCACCAAGGCCCAGGCAGAGGCTCCTTACAGGGGGACGACCTTCATGGGGAGGTGGAAGTGCAGGTAGTACTGGCTCTTTCGCATGTCCTCCTTTCCCTGGAACTCTCGCATCATGTAATCCACATACTTTTGCTGCCTCGGAAAGAAAACACAAAGGAGGCAAAACAGTCTCTGTCTTTGGTGTCAAGAATGCAAACCTGATTCCCAGCCCCCCACCCCTCCATCTCTCCCAGGCTCTTCCAAGGGGCTCTGGTGGCCGCTTCCCAAGTACTGGCCAAGGCAAGTGGTCAAGCAACAGACCCGCTCTTTTTTTATTTATTTGTCACTCAGGCTGTAGTGCAGTGGTGTGATCACAGTTTACTGCTCAGCCTCCCAAGGCGCTGGGACTATAAGCATGAACCACCATACCTGGCCTTTTCTTTTTTTCCTTTGGGACAGGGTCTCGCTCTGTCACCCAGGCTGTGATGTGCAATGGTGTGATCACAGCTTACTATAGCCTCAGTCTCCCAGGTTCAAGTGATCCTCCCACCACAGCCTCCTGAGTAGCTGGGACCACAGATGCATGCCACAATGCTCAGCTAGCTTTTGCATTTTTTTTTTTTGTAGAGACAGGGTTTCTCCATGTTGCCCAGGCTGGTTTTGAACTCCTGGACTCAAGTGGTCTGCCAGAGTTCTGGGATTAAAGGCGTGAGCTGCCGAGCCTGGACAGCAGACCTGTTCTCGAATCCTGAGTACAGGAAGGGGCTACTCGCAGCATTAAATGAGAGAGCACAGCAGCACCTCCCTAGCCGTCCTCAAGTGCTAAGTGCATCCTCAGATCACCCCTACAACAGGCATTGCCCTGGGAGCCCTTTATTCACTCTAAGGATAATAAGACTGAGGCCCCTATAAGGATGTGTGATATGCCCATGTTCAAACTTCCCGGGTTAACAGCAGGGAGCACCCACAACCAGGGCCACTGGGGCAACTCGACTCCATCCCGCTGCCCAGCTGCTGGAAAACACAGCCAAGGCCCAAAGCAGCCATCATACAAAGCTATAATGAGAAAGTGGGGGTTGTGGACAAGGACCACTGGGTAAATCTAGAGTCTCTCTCTGTCACCCAGGCTGGAGTGCAGCCATGTAATCTCAGCTCACTGCAACCTCCACCTCCCGGGTTCAAGCGATTCTTCTGCCTCAGCCTCAGAAGCAGCTGGGACTACAGGCATGCACCACCACACCCAGCAAATTTTTGTATTTTTAATAGAGATGGGGTTTCACCATATTGTCCAGGCTGGTCTCAAACTCCTGACCTCAGGTAATCACCCGCCTGGGGCTCCCAAAGTGCTGGGATTTCAGGCGTGAGCCACCACGCCCAGCCGGTTTAAATTATTTTTTTTTTCTTTTAGTTGGCCTCATTGTTCTAAAGGAAATGCTTATTATAGAACATTAAAAGAAATAAAAACAAGAAAATTAAGAATAAATCCCAGAGTGTATGCCTATGCTGAGGAGAGCTACAAGACTGCAGTTACCACAGGGACTCTCAAGGCACACTCCCTGGGTTTGAATACTGGCTCCAGTGCTGATGAGGCTAAAGCCCTGGGCAAACTTTCCTAACTTCCCCATGCCTCAGTTTCCCAATCTGTCAAATTGAGGTAAGTTTTTTTGTTTTGTTTTGTTTTCTGAGACATGGTCTCACTTTGTCATCCAGACTGGAGTACAGTGATACAATCTCAGCTCACTGCAGACTCAACCTCATGGGTTCAAACAATCCTCCCAGCTCAGCTTCCCAAGTAGCTGGGACTAGAGGCATGCACCATCATACCCTGCTAATATTTGGCATTGTTTGTAGAGACAGGGTTTTACCATGTTGCCCAGGCTGGTCTTGAACTCCCAACCTCGTGATCTGCCCGCCCTGGCCTCCCAAAGTGCTGGGATTATAGGCGTGAGCCACCGTGCCTGGCCAAGTTGGCCTATTCCTGAGTGATGGTGAAGGGCCATGAGATGGTCATGGTACCAGCTTGAATCCCCCAAGCCAAATGGGGGGGGGCTGGTGGGCAGGGCAGGCACATGGCAGGAAGCTTTTGTGCTCACCACTGCACCCTCAGTAGGTCTCACACAGGAGCCAATGACACTTGTCCCTGGGGAATAAGCTGCCAGGAACTCAGCTCACAAAGGTCTCAGGAGGGACCTTTCCACCCTGCAAGTCCCTCAACTAGGGCCGGAATCCATAGGGAGGCTTTCCCACGTCATGATGACCTCCCATCTTCAGCCCCACCAATTGGTCAAGGACTGGAGCCTCCAGCCTCCCTCCAGCACCTGAGGCAGCAGGGGCACCCTCCTCACCCAGCTGATGAAGCCTTCACAGTCCGAGTCCACCTTCAAAAACAGCTCCTTTAGCATGTCCTCCGACACACTATTCGGAACCTTCTTCATGGCCTTGATGAAGGCGTCCATGCCCAGGGCTTCAAAGAGAGAAGACAGAACATCATCCCCTTCCTCACAAGTCCCATGGCCCATCACTGCCACGTGTTCTCCAGTGTGGGTGCTGAGAGGGACACACAGAAGATCACATGTATGGCTGGGCGCCGTGACTCATGCGGTGGATCACTTGAGAGTAGGAGTTTGAGAGCAGGTTGGGAAACATAGGGAGACCCGGTCTACATAAAATTTTAAAATTAGCCCAGTGTGGTGGTGTGAGCCTATAGCGCCTGCTGGTCGGGAGACTGAGGTGGGAGGATCGCCGGGAAGTAGAGGCTGTAGTTGGCCATGATCTCACCACTGCACTCCAGCCTAGGTGATGGAGACAGACCCTGTCTCTAAAAAAATAAATAAAATAAAGGCTGGATGCAATGGTTCACACCTGTAATCCCAGTACTTTGGGATGAATTTTCCCAGGCTCTTGATGTCCTGGGCTCAAGCAACTCTCCAACCTTGGCCTCCCAAAGTGCTAGGATTATACGCATGAGCCACTGCACCTGACCAGAAGCACTTTTTTTTTTTTTTTTTTTTTGAGATGGAGTCTTATTTTATTGCTCATGCCTGGAATCCCAGCACTTTGGGAGGCCAAGGTAGGCAAATCACAAGGTGAGGAGTTCAAGACCAGCCTGGCCAATGTATGGTGAAACCCTGTCTCTACTAAAAACACAAAAATTAGCTGAGCTAACCAACAGAATATGGCACAGGTGACAGGATGTACATGTGATTACATGATTTGTTATATAAGATTGCAACACATGAGGCCGGGCACAGTAGCTCATGTCTATAATACCAACACTTTGGGAGACCAACACAGGTGGATCATAAGGTCAGGAGTTCGAGACCATCCTGGCTAACACGGTGAAACCCCATCTCTATGAAAAATGCAAAAAATTAGAAAGGCATGGTGGCATGCACCTGTAGTCCCAGCTGCTCAGGAGGCTAAGGCAGGAGAATCGCAGGAGGAGGTTGCAGTGAGCCAAGATCACACCATTGTGCTCCAGCCTGGTTGACAGAGCAAGACTCCCACACAAAAAATTAATAAAAATAAAAACCATAAAAAAGATTGCAACACCCATCTTGCTGGAGTTTTTCTCCCCCTTATTGGCTTGAGCCTTGCAGGCAGGTATGCTGGTGAATCCCGCATGGACAATGAGCAGCGTCTAGAAGCTGAAGGCAGCCTCCCATCAACAGTCAGGAAGAAACAGAGGCCCTCAGTCACAGAGCGGCAACCAGCTGAACTCTGCAAACAACCTGAGTGAGCTTGGAAGTGGGTCCTTCCCCAGTCAAGCCCAAGATCATTCCACAGCCCCAGCCAACAACTTATTTTTTATTTATTTATTTTTTTGGAGATGGAGACTCACTCTGTAGTCTGGGCTGGAGTACAGTGCTGCAATATTGGCTCAGTGCAACCTCTGCCTCCCAGGTTCATGCAATTCTTCTGCCTCAGCCTCCCAAGTAGCTGGAATTAGAGGCCCATGCCACCGCGTCTGGCTAATTTTTGTATTTTTAGTAAAGATGGGGTTTCACCATGTTGGCCAGGATGGTCCCAAACTCCTTGCCTTAAGTAATCTGCCCACCTTGACCTGTCAAATTGCTGGGATTAGAGGCATGAGCCGCTGCGCCCGGCCCCAGCCAACAACTTGATTGCAGCCTTGTGAGAGCCTGAACAGAGAAGCAGCTAAGCCATATCCAGACTCCTGCCCCACCAAAGCTGTGAGGTGCATTGGTTTAAGCCACTGAGATTGTGGTTCTATCACACAGCAATAGATAATAAACCATACATATGAAACTGAAAGAAAATACACCCAAATGCTAACTATGGTTACATTTGGGTATTCGGACTAGGGGTATTTTACAAAATTTTCTAGATCCCAAATAGCCCCCAAAATGTTTGCAATACATATGTAATGTTTGAAAGTTTGAAAGGAGAGGTCAGGCACAGCACAGTGGCTCACACCTGTAATCCCAGCACTTTGAGGCATTGCTTGAACCCAGGAGTTTGAGACCAGCCTAAGCAACATAGCAAGACCTTGACTCTACAATTTTTTTGCCCCATTCACCAGGCATGGTGGCGTGTACCTATAGTTTCAGCTACTCCAGGGGCCAAGGCAGGAGGATCGCTTGAGTCCAGTAATCCCAGACAAGTCTGGGCAACATATTAAGTTGGTACAACATATTAAGTTGGGACTACAGGCGCGCACCACCATGCCCAGCTAATTTTTGTATTTTTAGTAGAGATGGAGTTTCACCATGTTGGCCAGGATAGTCTCCATCTCCTGACCTCATGAACCACCCACCTTAACCTCCCAAAGTGCTGGGATTACAGGCGTGAGCCACCACAGCTGGCCTATAAAAATTTTTTTTTTTTAACTAGCCAGGAGTGGTGGCACGCACCTGTAAGCCCAGCTACTCTAGGGGCTGAGGCAGGAGGAAGTTGAGGCTGCAGTGGTGATCACACACTGCATTCCAGCCTGGGCAACAGAGCAATAACCTGTCTCAAAAAAAAAATGCTGATCATGTCTGAACCCTCCACACACCCCAGGTGCTGGATCCTGCCCTGTTGCAGAAGTCACAAAATGGAGTCTACAGAGCAGCCTCACCTCCAGTTATGCCGACGTCCTCCTCAAACACCTTCTCTATCTCGGCCAGGTGTGCCTCAGTAAACAGCTGGGACCCATGCTGAAGGTCCAGCACCTGGCTAAGGGGGCCGGATGGTGTCGGGGAGCTAACAGCCTCCTTGTTCTGGAAGCCATGTGGGATGGACAGCTGGAAAGAATATAACAAGAACCAGACCTGAGCATTTTAATTTCCTGAGCCAAACATTCTCAGCACATGATTTAAAGAGACTCTTTGAGAAAGAATGAGGTAAGTAGTGTTATAATGTTACCAACGGACAGAAACATACAATTCTTAACTATTTTTAGACCTAAGAAGATGAAGAAAAGTCTAAACTCCCCTGACTTTGGAGAGTGAACCATTGTTCCCCTTTTATAGATGCCACAACTGAGGCCCAGAGTTACTCAGGGAGGACACAGCCAAGTTCTACCTTACTCATAATGGGGTGTTCATTTATAAGGAACGTCAGTTCAGTAACTACATCATTTCAAATCTTCAGTGGTCAGAATTCAAGATCTTAGGGGGCTAGGCAAGGTGGCTCACGCCTGTAATCCCAGCACTTTGGGAGGCCGAGGAAGGCAGATCATTTGAGGTCAGGAGTTCTAGACCAGCCTGACCAACATGGTGAAAACCATCTTTACTAAAAATACAAAAACATTAGCTGGGCATGGTTGGTGCCTATAATCTCAGCTACTCAGGAGGCTGAGGCAGGAGAATCACTTGAACCCAGGAGGTGGAGTTTGCAGTGAACTGAGATCATGCCACTGCAGTCCAGCCTGGGTGACAGAGCAAGACAGAAGACACAGACCCCAGGGAATCCAGCTCCGTCTTCCCTAATTTGATCTTGTCCTGACCAGCCCAGATATCCCATCTGAGTCCAATCAGCTCACCTGCCCCAGGCCTGGCCTCTGCTAACACACCAATGCTCACCCAGACCCGCCACTAGGGGTTCTCCCTCACCTCCTCCTTCTACTCATTCTTCCCAGATCTCCCCAAAAGCCTTTCCCACCCTCCAGGCCTCACGATGCTTCCTCTCTTCGCCCCTTCGTGGGTACTCAAATGGACACTAAGCATAATGTTTCAGGTCACCAAAGCTCAGGCCATCAAAGGCTGCCTCCCCTAAAAGATTCCAAATGTGGACAACTAGATGACCTGGGTGGCAGGCAGGCAGTGCTGCTCACTGAGACACACTGCTTTGGGCCTTGGGAAGATGGAGAGACTTTAGTTCAAAAAGTCAATGGACAAGGGATTGAATTGCTCACTCTCCCCACCTTAGCCCCAACTAAAAAGCAAACGTGCTCATCCTCCTGTAACCTTTCATTCATTCACCCAGGGTCTACACACACTGACTGAGTGCCAGGCACTGTGGATACACTGTGAACATAGTGAGGGTCCCTGCCTCCATGAAGCCCAACAGAGGAGCATATGAAGGCTCTCCCCGCTCAACCCAGGCCCCAAATTAGGAATCTCAGCACCAACTTCAGCTCTTCCCTTTTCCTCCTATGCATTCTACCATCCCTCCTGTTAATTCTTCCTGAATCCATCTCCTACATACAAGCTCCCCTCTCCTATACCCCTGCTCACCCCGAACTCTAGTCTTTTGCTGGGACAAGCACAATGACCACCCCTAACTGAGACCAAAGTTTGGCCTTCTCTTCCCATCCACCTCCCAGCACTGGCACCAGTCATCTTTCTAGGCAGCAAATCTTTTTTATTTTTATTTTTTTGAGACAGAGTCTCACTCTGTCACCCAGCTGGAGTGCAGTGGCGGGATCTTCACTCTGGGTCCAAGTGATTCTCATGTCTCAGCCTCTCAAGTAGCTAAGACTACAGGCATGAGCCACTGCATCTAATGTGTGGCTAATTGTTTGTATTTTCAGTAGAGACAGGGTTAAACCACATTGGCCAGGCTGGTTTGAACTCCTGACTTCAGGTGATCCTCGCACCTCAGCCTCCCAAAGTGCTGGGATTACAGGTGTGAGCCACCACTCCTGGCTTCTAGGCCGCAAATCTGATCGATGACTTTACCCTGACTCTCACACTCTTCACTCCCAGCTCCTGAGTGCAGCATTCAAAGCACGTCCTAACCACCTCTGACCTGTCTAGCTTCAAGTATGCACCACGTTCCAGACACACCTCCTGCCCCACCATCCCCAGGCCCAGCAAGGGTTCCGTGCTTACTCACATTCTCTCCCATACACATTGCAGCCCATCTCCCCGAAGGTGAGCCTACCCACTCTTCAGATTCTCACTCAGATGGAACCTTCCCCAAGGAGCTCTTCCATAACTTTCACATGACAGTCATCACTGCCACTTCCATGTTCCTGGGTCTTTGTTCATATCTGCCCCTCATGGCACAGTAAGTGTGTAGTCTGTCCATACATGTAGACAGCAAGGCCTGAGGGGAAGCACATGGCTGCAGAGCCCCAGAGCTCTGGGTTGGAATTCTGCCTGGCTCCCCGACTTACAGGCTATTTTATTTTCTTATTTGTTTGTTTGTTTGTTTTCTGAGACAGAGTCTTGCTCTGTCACCCAGGTTGGCATGCAGTGGCTCAATCCCGGCTCACTGCAACCTCTGCCTCCCAGGCTCCTGCCTCAGCCTTCCAAGTAGCTGGAATTACAGGTGCCCCCTACCACCTCTGGCTAATTTTTGTATTTTCAGTAGAGATGGAATTTCATCATGTTGGCCAGGGTGGTCTCGAACTCCTGACCTCGTGATCCACCTGCCTCAGCCTCCCAAAGTGCTCCCAGTGGCTCATTACAGGCATGAGCCACTGCGCCCAGCCCAGGCTATTTTAACTTAGATATCACTTCTCTGAACCACACGTTCCTTCATCTGCAAAACAAAGAGCCACAGTCCCTACCTGCAGGGTTGTGGTTGAGACCTAATGGCACCTGAATACATGTGAAGCCCCAGTAAACTATAATTACACAATAAATGACATCTCTTGTTACTGCTCCTCATCTCATAGTGAGCTCTTCAAAGGCGAGGGCATATTCAATTAATCTTAACTTAATCTAATTTGTATTAATTATCTCTAGATTCCCCAGCCCCAAGCACATAACAAACTTTAATCAAAGTTTTTGATAAAAACTCCTATAACCTGGCCAGACGCTGTGGCTCATACCTGTAATCCCAGCACTTTGGGAGGCCAAGGTGGGTGGATCACAAGGTCAAGAGATCAAGACTAGCCTGGCTAATATGGTGAAACCCCATCTCTACTAAAATACAAAACTTAGGCAGGCGTGGTGGCACATGCCTGTAGTCCCAGCTATTTGGGAGGCTGAAGCAGGAGAATCACTTGAACCTGGGAGGCAGAGGTTGCAGTGAGCCAAGATCACGTCACTGCACTCCAGCCTGGGTGACAGAATGAGACTCCATCTCAAAAAAAAACTCCTACAGCCCATCCCACCATTATCACAACCTGGTGGACAAAATTAAAATTAAGTGGAAAAGTGGAGTCCACGTACAGACCACACATCACGGGGCTCAGGTGTGTTGCATTTGGCTCATGTAGCTTTTTTGTTTTTTTGGTTTTTTTATTTTTTTTTAGAGACAGGGTCTCACTCTGTGGCCCAGGCTAAGTGCAGTGACGAGCCACCATACCCAGCCTCGGGCAGCCCTTTAAAAGTACACTTAGGCTGGGCATGGTGGCTTATACCTGTAATCCCAACATTTTGGGAGACTGAGTTAGATAAATCACAAGGTCAGGAGTTCAAGACCAGCCTGACCAACATGGTGAAACCCCGTCTCTACTAAAAATACAAAATACAAAAATTAGCCGGGCATGGTGGTGCACATCTGTAATCCTAGCTACTCAGGAGAACTGCTTGAACCTGGAGGGTGGAGGTTGCAGTGAGCTGAGATGGCGCCACTGCATTCCAGCCTGGGCAGCAAAACGAGACTCCTCTGTCTCAAAAAAAAAAAAAAAAAAAAAAAAAGTGGCCAGGCACAGTGGCTCACACCTGTAATCCTAGCACTTTGGAAGGCCGAGGTGGGCAGATCACCTGAGGTCATGAGTTCAAAACCAGCCTGACCAATATGGAGAAACCCCATCTCTACTAAAAAATACAAAATAAGCCAGGTATGGTGGCACACCATGTAATCCCAGCTACTCAGGAGGCTGAAGCAGGAGAATCGCTTGAACCCAGGAAGCAGAGGTTTTGGTGAGCCAAAATCATGCCATTGCACTCCAACCTGGGGAGCAAGAGCAAAACTCAGTCTCAAAAATAAGAAAAAAGTACACTTAAGTTACTTGTGGCCAGGCGCAGAGGCTCACGCCTGTAATCCCAGCACTTTAGGAGGCCAAGACAGGTGGATCACCCGAGGTTGGGAGTTCAAGATCAACCTGACATGGAGAAATCCCATCTCTACTAAAAATACAAAATTAGCCAGACATGGTGATGTATGCCTGTAATCCCAGCTACTAGGCAGGCTGAGGCAGGAGAATCAATTGAATCCAGGAGGCAGAAGTTGTAGTGAGCTGAAATCACGCCATTGCATTCCAGCCTGGGCAACAAGGGCAAAACTCCATCTTGGGAAAAAAAAAAAAGTTACTTGCCCAGTAAGTATCTGAGTATGCAACCCCTGATGCAGAAACCACTGCACTTCCATGCTGGTAAGTGATGTTTTGGGTGACTCTGGAATGCCCCACCCTTTATTAGCTCAAATAATAGTCTTACCTTTTGGAGTTTAGGGATCTCTGCTAAGTCTTCCGAAGACATTAGTCTTGACCTAGAATAAAGAATCATAGTCAACCTAACTACTTCATTGTAAGGACCATGTGGAAGGCTGACTTAACCAGGTCACAGAAAGATAGAAAAGAAGTCAAGGTCAAGGGAGAGGGTGGCTGCCCCTTGCCCATGGACACTCCCAGCAAGCATTGGATGAGCATCCCTTTTCCCAGAGATTTCTCCAGCAAAAAGCTTTTGCCAGGCTTGTACCTGAGCCTTTCTTCCCCCTGATAGAGAGGAGTTGTTCTGCAGAAGCTGTGTGGTTTCACAAGTCTCTTTACTCCTGACTTAATGCCAGAGGCTTTCTAATGGGGATCACACTTTCTACAGAAGTAGAAGGGTCTTAGGAGGCCATATGGCGGTCCAAGCACAATAAACAGATTAGAAAAATGAGGGCCCCTGACTTTCTGCTGCATACACCCTCCCCACCCGCTGTCCAGTGCCCTTGCAAGTCAGGACTTCGGGAGAGCAGACAGAACAGAGCTCTGCTCTGGGAACACAAAGGGAACGTTTCTATTGGGTCAGCAAGGCCTCCATATGCAAAGGATGACAGTGTTTTGTTAGGGTAATTGGAGAGCCAATCCACCTCATCAGCAAGACCCACTAGGCAAGAGTCCACAGGGCACTCTAGGATGGCAGGGGGACAGCCAAGAAATAGTTAAGCCCAAGACAGGCACAGGGGACAGACCAAGTGAGCCAGCTTGGCTTGACTTGAAGAGTCCTGGGGGCAGAGGGGTGGGAGGAATCATGGGAGAGAAGAAACAAACATTGGCAGCAGAAAGTAGAATGTGAATACCTGACCAGACAGTCTGAACAAAATGAAGGGCAACTGTTAAAATTCATGAGCAGTCAGGCACAGTGGCTCACACCTGTAATCCCAGCACTTTGGGATACCAAGGCAGGTGGATCACCTGAGGTCAGGTGTTCGAGATCAGCCTGGCCAACATGGTGAAACTCTCTCTCTACTAAAAATACAAAAAAATTAGCCAGGCAATTTAGATAATTTTTCTAAAAAAATTATAGGCTCACACCTATAATTACAGGTGGCAGGCTCCGGTAATCCCAGTTACTCAGGAGGCTGAGGCAGGAGGATTACTCGAACCTGGGAGGCAGAAGTTGCAGTGAGCAGATATCATGCCATTACACTCCAATCTGGGTGACAGAGCGACACTTTATCTCAAAAAAATAAAAATAAAATTCATCAGCACAAGCTGGAGGAAGAAGACTGAATGCTAGTCAAGAGTGCCCTAACCTAGCAGTCTCTTGGTAACAGCTCACACCTAAGCACCAAAGGAGAGAGAATAGCCTAAGGAAAGGAGACTTGGAAGCCAAGAACCAAGCTAACAGAAATGCCAGAACCATCTCCAGAAAAAGGAGCAAAGAGGGAAAGTGGTTTAATGCATGTGATACTGGGCTGTCCAATCAGAAATTAAAAAACAGGCCGAGGCAGGAGGATCACTTGCATCCAGGAGTTTGAGACCAGCCTGGGCAACACTGAGAGACATCTCTACAAAAAATCCAAAATTAACCAGGTGTGGTGACACACGCCTGTAGTCCCAGCTACTCGGGAAGCTGAGGTGGGAGAAGCACTTGAGCCCAGGAGATTGAGACTGCAGAGAGCTGAGGTTGTACCACTGCACTCCAGCCTGGATGACAAGAGGGAGGGAGGGGGGAAGGGAAGGAAGGAAGGGAAAGAGAGAGAGAGAGACAGAGAGAGACAGAGAGAGAAAGAGAGAGAGAGAGAGAGAGAAAGAGAGAGAGAGAGAGAGAAACAAAGAAACAGAGAGAAAGAAAAGGAAAGAAATTTAAAAAAAAAAATACCTAGGGCCAGGTGCAGAGGCTCACACCTATAATCACAGCACTCTGGGAGGCTGAGGTGGGTGGATCAACTGAGTTGATCCAGGAGTTCGAGACCAGCCTGGCCAACATGGAGAAACCCAGTCTCTACTAAAAATACAAAAATTAGCCAGGCGTGGTGGCACCTATAATCCCAGCTACTCAGGAGACTAAGGCAGCAGAATCACTTGAACGCAGGAGGCAGAGGTTGCAGTGAGCTGAGATCGCGCCACTGCACTCCAGCCTGGGCAACAAGACTGGGCAAACCCTGTCTCAAAAAAACAAAAACACGCACACATAAAACAAAATACCTGGAAATCTGGGGACTGACACTTGAGGAGTGGCTACAGGTAGGGGATAGAAAGAACAAAAAACACACAAGACAGCTAGAAGATGGGATGCTACAAAGTAAGCCAAGGTGATAAGGGAAAGAAATGGCCACTGAAAGAGGCAATTAAGAGGTTACCAGTGAAAAAAGCTGCAGAAGCTGTATATAAAATGTTAAGTCCATTTCTGTTAAGCATATATGCATATACATGTTGTCACATGCATACAAAGAAGCCTGGAAAGATACACTCCGAAATTAATGGCAGTTATCTCTGGCAGGTGAGATTATGGAAGATTTTTTTCTAGACAGACCTTTGCTCTTGTTGCCCAGACTGGAGTGCAATGACATGATCTTGGCTCACCGCAATCTCCACCTCCCAGGTTCAAGTGATCTCCTGCCTCAGCCTTGTCTGTGAACTGCAGGGTTGGGTTTTTATTTTTTGAGACAGTCTCATTATATGTCACCCAGCTGGAGTGCAGTGGCATGATCTCACCTCATTGCAACCTCTGCCTCCTGGGTTCAAGCCATGCTCGTGTCTCAGCCTCCCAAGTAGCTGAGATTACAGGCGTGTGCCACCACACAAGGCTCATGGCAATCTTTAAAATGTGTTTTAGTGGAGTGGGTAGGAAGGTGGTAATTTAAATGACTCCTTTGTGAAAGGCCACTGTTGAAGAGTGACTGCTGTATTGTTCACAGGAGCAAAAACCAAAAGTGAACCATTCTAGGTTGAGAAATGGTGAATAAATAGTACAACTGTACCTAGGACATCACCCAAATATGCAGAAAGATGAATCTGACTTTCAGCTGCTAAGACAGATTTCCATGAAGTACTAATAAGAAATGCAAACTGCAGGCTAGGCACGGTGGCTCACACCTGTGATCCCAACACTTTGGGAGGCCAAGACGGGAAGATCACTTGAGCCCAGGAGTTTGAGACCAGCCTGGGCAACATGGTGAAACCCCATCTGTACAAAATATTACAAAAAATTAGCCGGGTGTGGTGGCACTCACCTATCATCCCAGCTACTCAAGAAGGTGAGGTGGGAGAATCACCTGCATCCAGGAGTTCGAGGCTGCTGTGAGCTGTAATCACACCACACCACTACACTCTGGGGCCTGGGTGACAGAATGAGACCTTGTCTCAACAAAACAAAACAAAAACCAAGACGCAGAAAAGGGTGCACAGTATGATGCCAATTTTTGTAAAAGAATGAAAAATAGGCTGGGCACAGTGTCTGCTCACACCTAAAATCCCAGCTACTCGGGAGGCTAAGGGATGAGAATCACTTGAACCCAGGAAGTGGAGGCTGCAGTGAACCAACATCATGCCATTGCACTCCAGCCTAGCCAACAGAGTGAGAATCCATCTCAAAAAATAAAAAACGTTACCACCATCAGCAGAGCAAAATGACATCCATCACACACCTCCCGATCCAATACGCTCAGGGCACATTGCTTCAGTAGTATTCCTGCCAAAAATACACATCATCTGAATCTAATCATAGGAAACAGACAAACCCAAATTACATGATATTCGACAAAATAAGGGTTTTGGTTTTTGTTTTTGAGACAGAGTCTCACTCTGTCACACAGGCTGGAGTGCAGTGGCTCAATCTCAGCTCACTGCAACCTCCACCTGACAGGTTCTGATGATTCTCATGCCTCAGCCTCCTCAGTACCTGAGAATTTATAGGTGCACGTCACCATGCCCAGCTAACTTTTGTATTTTTAGTAGAGTCAGGGTTTCACCACGTTGGCCAGGCTGGTCTCGAACTCCTGGCCTCAAGCAATTCCTGCCCACCTTGGCTTCCCAAAGTGCTGGGATTACAGACATAAGTCACCGCACCTGGCCAAAATAAAATGCCATGTAAATCAAAGAAAGGCTAAGGAACTGTTAGAGAACTGTTCCTTAGCTAAGGAACTCTTGATGTGACTCAAGAGACCCAACAATGAAAGACAACGCACAATTCTGAATTGAATCCCTGACTGGGACAAAACAGACATGCTGCAAGGGCTGCTATTCAGTGAAACTATGTAAAATGTGAACATGACTCTATATCATTAGACATTGTATTCGTGTTTTCTGCTTTTGATAACTGTATTGTGACTATAAGAAAATGTCCTTGTTCTCAGGAAATGTAAACTTAAAAGGGCATGATATAATTCTCAAATGGTTTAACAAAAACGTGTTTAGTAACACAAATGTAGCAAAATGCTCACAATTATCTGGACAAAAGGGCATTCGTTGTACTAGTCTTACAACTATTTACATATTCTTAATTATAAAGAAATGACTTTCACCAGAAGAGGTTCTATGTATGTATGTTCATGAAAAGAGGCAAAGCACCACATGGAAAAAAATACTGGTTGCTGGCAAGAGACAACCCCAAAGAAAGGGGCAGAAGAAAGACTATTCCTCCAACGTTGAAGGGAAGGAAGAGAAGGCTGAGATGTAGAACTCTCTATATTTAGAATTAGAGCAACAGATCAGATCAGAAGTCACACCCATCTGCCGCGATCTATTCCCGAATGTTGACCTGTCTGGAGCTGACAGAAGAGGGGCAGGGCAAGGCAGGTGGGGAGAGAACCATCTTGAACAGAGGTAAGAACTTAGAGCAGCCACTAGGAGAACATGCTAGGGATGAGAGAAGAATGATAGGGTTGTAGGAATTTGTACAGGCAGAAGACTAAGGGATACACGTGCATTGAAAGTCAGCCAGGACATGGGTAACAACTGTTCTCCAGGTTCCCAAGCGGCGTTGGAGCTCAGGTGGAGGTCTTCAGCAGAGTTATCCAATCTTTTGGAGGGCAACTTTTACCCAAAACCCTGACTTACCCTGACTCAATTCGATCTCCCCAGTTATCTTGCTGGCAAAGTGCTATCACTTTCCAACTTCCATCTCGGCAAAGACCTTGGCAACTGTTCCCAGTCCAAGACAGCTCCTTTATGAAGTCGAGGTGGAACTCTGGGTCTGCTGGTCACATTTAGAACCAGGGAAATGAGACAGAATTCCATATGAAGAACAAAAATGAAGCATCAGAACCCATCCCACAAACCATAAGCACACAATCACTTTTCATCCAATTTGAAACATTTCTTTTATTGAAGAAGTTGATGAACTTACAGAGCAGACAGGGAAAGGAGCTACAAGCACAAACAGCCAGGACAAGCACAGATACAAAATCATACATAAAACAAGGGGAGGGAAACTGGAAGACACCAGGGAGTCCTTTTATAAAAAACAGCCTTTACCAAAACCAAAAGGCCAGCTGGCTCCAAGACAGCGAAAGCACAGTGGCTCCTCTGCCCTCTGCATAAGCTCTAATTCTTTAAAAATAGGAAGGAGACAAGAGATGTGAGATGGGAGACTTACAAATCCAGACTTCAGGGCAGGCTTAGACTTGCTGCAGCCACTGCAATCTTGGTCCACGGCGCAATTTGGCAAACAAGTTGGTGAAAGTCAAGTGTATGGAGATTTCAGTCAAGAACGTGGATTCCAGATTTTGTTTTTTTTTAATGAGACAGAGTTTTACTCTGTCACCCAGGCTGGAGTACAATGGTGTGATCTCAGTTCATTGCAACCTCCGACTCCTGGGTTCAAGCGATTCTCCTGCCTCAGCCTCCCAAGTAGCTGGGATTACATACAGGCACCCACCACCACATCCAAGCTAATTTTTGTATTTTTAGTAGAGACGGGGTTTCACCATGTTGACCAGTCTGGTCTCGATCTCCTGACCTTGTGATCCACCTGCCTCAGCCTCCCAAAGTGCTGGGATTACAGGTGTGAGCCACCATGCCACCTGGATTCCAAATTTTGTAAGATACCCAGCTAAATCACATTTCGCATGGAAGTGGATGTTTTCAAATGCTAAGTGACCACCAAACAAAACAGTGGGCCTTTACTACTCTGAGAACACCAACATACAAAAATAAAAATGCTTCCATTTTATCAATTATGGAGACAAAGGATTTTGTCATAGTGTACAATAATATTAAGAGTAGATGAATAAAAAGTCAAAAAAGGTACAGAAGTCCTATAAATCAGGGTTTATTAGACTAGATATTAATAAATTAGAAGGGATTTAAAAAAAAAAAAAAGGTTGATGGCCCTAAATATGAGTTTCCTACTGTTTCTTAGAACATTCATTTTCCAATACAATGTTAGCAATTCTTACAGCAATTTCTTCATTTTTCCAATAACACATTTATTAATCAAATGGTATATATTTTTCACTATAAACTATCTTCACTGGTTAATACATTTATGAATATTTTAATATGGTCTAAAATATGTTAAATTCTGTCACAAAAAAGATGTTTTTCCCTACCTGGAAAGAAACATGAATTAAAAAAAGGAAACTATTAAGATGATCCCACTTTTTAATTAAGGAAAAGTTCAGAAAACTCCCACCTTTTTAAAAAAGAATGAAAATATGATCGTAAGTAACTCAGGTTAAAAAAACAGTAACAGGGCCAGGCACAATGGTTCATGCCTATAATCCCAGGATTTTGGGAGGCTGAGGCAGGAGGATCCTTGAGCCCAAAAGTTTGAGACCTGCCTGAGCAACATAGTGAGACCCTGTCTCTATTTAAAAAAAAAAAAAAAAAAATTAAAAAAAAAGAGAAAAAAAAAAAACAGTAACAATAAAACAAGTGGGAAGGACATTCAGAAGAAAAATCTCCTAAACCTCTGCACAAAAATAATTCTTGCAGAGTTAGAAGTCATACCTGAGATTAATTCAGGCGTCACTTGCTAATACTAAGGAAATTCTGACTGGAAGGGGCAACTCACATTAACAGAAGCAATGACCTGCCCTAGAGAAGGCACTTCCTCACACTCCCACTTAGCTGCAATGCCAATACTGTCCTTTCAAGCCCCAACACTGTGATTTTCAGATGTCAAACTTGTATCCTGCTTTTCAGCTCTATGTAACTTGTCAAAAATTTCAAGATGCCACTCCATAGCCAAAAAGTGAGCCTTATCTTTTTCAAACAAAAATAAACAAAAGAGAAGTCACTGACTGCTAGAAGTAGCAGGGACCCTCAAGACTGGTATCACTGGATCACACCTTCAGCTGTCAGTAGGTTGAGGTCAGTAACTCAGCTCACATGACATTTAAAACCACACAACACTGCCAGAGAGAGCTACAGGTTCAGATGCCAATGATTTCAAAAAACCACGATTTAAGAAAAAGGCAGATTCTCCTGTGTTCAGCAGCTACTTAAAAAACAAACAAACAAAAGCACTTATTGGCCAGGAATGGTGGCTCATGCCTGTAATTCTAGCACTTTGGAAGGCCAAGAGAGGAGGGCTGCTTAAGTCCAGGAGTTTGAGACCAGCCTAGGCAACATAGCCAGATCTTGTCTCTACAAAAATTAAAAAATTAGCTGAGCACTTCTAGCTGCTTGGGAGGCTGAGGTGGGAAAATCAAAAATCCCTTGAGCCTGGGAAGTTGAGGCTGCAGTGAGCTGTGATCATGCCACTGCACTGCATTCCAGCCTGGGTGACAGAGCGAGACCCTGCCTGGAAAATAACAACAACAAAAAGCACTTCTTAATGACTAGGGAAAATATTAAATATTAGGATATTAGGTCAGGGAGCTAAAGACTCCTAGAATTTTTTTTTTTTTTTGAGACAGAGTCTCACACCGTTGCCAGGCTAGAGTGCAATGGCGCGATCTCTGCTGACTGCAACCTCTATCTCCCATATTCAAGCGATTCTCCTGCCTCAGCCTCCCAAATAGCTGAGATTACAGACACACGCCACCACACCCAACTAATTTTTGTATTTTTAGTAGAGATGGGGTTTCACCATGTTGGCCAGAATGGTCTTGCTCTCTCGACCTCATGAGAGACCACTACGCACAGCCAACTCTCAGAAATTTTTCAGAATAAATTTATTTCACTCTACAGTGAATCTTAAAATTACTACTTCTTTGGACTGGGCACGGTGGCTCAGGCCTGTAATCCCAGCACTTTGGGAGGCCAAGGCAGGCGGATCACTTGAGATCAGGAGTTAGAGGCCAGCCTGGGTGACACAGTGAAACCCCATCTTTACCAAAAAAGAAAAAAAAAATATTACTTCTTCTCTCAGGCTTCAAAATTAAGGGGGAGGGAGGGACATACTGCGGTATCCCATAGCTGCCTGCAAAAAACACAATAGCTTATCCCATTCTCCCAAGCTTAACTCTCACATTTTGCAGAAAAAAATACAAAATACCAAACAAACAAACAAAAAACACAGGCTGGGTGCGGTGGCTCACACCTGTAATCCCAGCACTTTAGGAGGCCGGGGCAGGTGGATCACAAGATCAGGAGTTCAAGACCAGCCTGGCCAATATGGTAAAACCTTGTCTGTACTAAAAATACAAAAAAAAAAAAAAATAGCCAGGCGTGATAATGGGCACCTGTAGTCCCAGCTACTTGGGAGGCTGAGGCAGGAGAATCATTTGAACATGGGAGGTGGAGGGTGCAGTGAGCCGAGATCGAGTCACTGCACTCCAGCTTGGGCAACAGAGCAAGACCTTCACCTCAACAACAACAACAAAAAAGACGAAATCAGATTAGAAAACTTAAGTAGAATGCCAAAATCCAGATGACCTTGAAGTTATGCTGCATCTTAAAATCACTAGAAGTATTTCAGAATATATAAACAGGCCCCATTGTGAAAAATATAAACATGAACATGATAAATAAGCAAGAGGAGAGGAAACTGGTCATTCAGATAAACCATGACAAGTCCTGGGTAAAATACACTTAGACGATTCAGGGATGGAGGTACTAGTTAGCAAGGCGCTCCCCACAGCTTGCAGCCTGTTGGGGAAGAGCCAAACAGGTGGTGGGCCACTTGTATTACCCTCCTGTCAAAGCCTCCTCTTTCAAAGTCAAAACCAAAAGTAGCTGAGCTACTGTGCTTTTCTATCAAAATCGCCCTTCACTGGTGAAAATTAGTCTCCACTCGCAATGTCTGCTGGGACTTGTGCACGCTCCTGTTCTTTCTTGTTCCAATCTCCTATTGGCTTTTACAGACCTCAGTAACTTTTTCTGAACCAGAAGGGCTCATCTCACTGAGCCAATGAAAAGCCATGCTCTGCAGATTTCAGGTGCAGGAACTAGCAGAGGGCCCTGGTCTTAACTCTCGGTCCATCGCATTCCACCTACAGCACTGTCTCCCTCATTTATTCAGTAAAGGTCAGAGATGGGTACCAGCCATACACCCCTTCATATGTTAAGTCTACCCACTTGTATGCTTGATCTTGGACTTAAATTCAATAGTCTGCATTGCAATTTGTGCATCATCCATTAAAGCTAAATCTTAAAAACATCTCTGTCTCCACTGGAGACAGAGTAACTAGTAAAAGCCATAAATCCAGCTCTAAGATTTACCCTGAGAGACTGACTCTCACCTAACAAAAGCTTCCCACATCCCACTCTACCGCCAAAATGGAAAGTAAATGAAAGCCATCAGCACATGGAATAAATTACTCTTCCTCCTCTGCACCCAGAACACACTCAAAGTCAACCACGAAAAATTTAAGGGAGAAATTTTTAAAAAGTAAATAAGCCAGGATATGTAGCATTCCAAACTGCTTTTTTTAAAACCATTTTTGATCTTTTAAATAGAAACAGGGTCTCTTGCTACGCTGCCCTGGTTAGTTTCAAACTCTCGGGCTCAAGCGGTCCTCCTGCACTGGCCTCCCAAAGTGCTGGGGTTATAGGCCTGAGCCACGGTGCTCAGCCCCAAACTGCTGATGGATCATTTTACAAGTCTATCTCTTGATGCCACTTACAAAGTTCTAGGCATTGGTGGGCAATCTGGTTTGCTTTCAAATGGTCACAGGACAAAGAACTACCTCTCCTCACACTCAGAAACATGTCTATGAAGGCTATTTCCATTTCACACTCCAGAACCTGAGAGCCTCCAGTACTGAGGAAACAAGTTATTTAAATTTTGATACACACACACACACACACACACACACACACACACACAACTCTACCTCAAGATTTAAGGTTCTAGATTGAGGAGCCTAGAAATTTGACTCTAAGGCTAGACTTGCTCACCTAGATAACCAAATTAATGAAGCTACTCAGTATACTCAATAGAGTACAGAGAAAGCTTCTGTACTCCAAGGACTACGGTAACATTACTTTCTAATGAGATTAAGCCAAAGGGGAAACAGATAGACCGTCACAAGTTACAGCTATATAACAATTTGGGCTAGGCACAGTGGCTCACACCTGTAATCCCAGCATTTTGGGAGGCAGAGACGGGTAAACTGTTTGAGTCCAGGGGCTGAAGACCAGCCTGCAATATAGCAAATCCCGTCTCTACAAAAACATTAACCAGCCAGGCAGGATGGTGTGCACCTACAGTCCCAGCCACTAGGGAGGCTGAGCTGGGATGGACAGCTTGAGCCCAGGAAGTTGAGGCTGCCATGAGCCATGACTGCGCCACTGTACTCCAGCCTGTGTTGCAGGAGACCCTCTCACAAAAGGAAAACAAAAACAAGACATAATTTGGCTGAAGTCATCTAGGTTAATGGTTCTAACTATTGTCAAGTTCAATATAAGAGTACAGAATCCCTTCAGACTTTTTTTAATTAAAACGGAGTCTCCTTCTGTCACCAGGCTAGAGTGCAGTGGCGTCATCTTGACTCACTGCAACCTCTGTCTCCTGGGTTCAATTCTCCTGCCTCAGCCTCCCTAGTAACTGGGACTACAAGCACATGCCACCATGCCCAACTAATTTTTGTTATTTTTAGTAGAAACAGGGTTTCACCATGTTGGCCAGGATGCTCTTGATCTCTTGACCTCCCCTTCAGGCTTTCAGAGAAGAACTCTGAACTCTCAGTAATACCATCACATGTGAAAACAGAGAGAAAAAAAGAAGCATCATGAAGATACAGAAATCAATATGAACTCATCTGGTTTTAAAATTTTACAAACTGAATGTGTGAATTCAAAGGTGTGATACAGAGCCAGGTGTGGTGGCTTACACCTGTAAGCCCAGCACATTGGGAAGCCAAGGTGGGCGGATCAGTTGAGGACAGGACTTCGAGACTAGCCTGGCCAACATGGCAAAACCCCACCTCCACTAAAAATACAAAAATTAGCTGAGCATGGTGGCACACCCCTGTAATCTCAGCTACTCAGGAGGCTAAAGCACAAGAATTGCTTCAGCTTGGGAGGTGGAGGTTGCCAAGATGGCACCACTGCCCTCCAGCCTGAGTGACAGAGCAAGACTCTGTCTCAAAAAAAATAAAAAAGGACATATTACCACAGTGCCAGACCAGAAAACTTGTGTGGGTGCCTCACAACACTGATCACAGACTGAGGCTCAGCTTGTTTCAAAGCAAAGTTCTCTGTTGTCAACAGTCAGATTTGGGTCACCCACATGCTAGCAGGCTAATCTGATTAGGTTGGTCAGACTAAAGCTTGCATTTTGTTTGAGGACTTTGCAATAAACTCTGGTCAACATCACAAAAGGAGTCCTTTAGACTCAATCTTCTAAAGAAATCCTTAAAAACTACAGAACATCGCCTTGGCTAGAGCAAAAGAAAACCACTTCCTTTTCAAAACCCTTTACATTCTAGAGAGTAAACCTTAAAGAAAAATGGGTTTTTAAGTCAATGAATCTGAGACACTGAATCTTCATGTAAAAGAAAACAAAAACAGGATAAAAACAATAGCCTGAAGACAGAAGGGAGTTGTACTTGTCCATACTACCATGCTGAAAAATATTAAAAGGATGTGTCCCTTATGTTACAAAATACCCAAACCCTATGTAAAGGAATGGTCTCCCAAATTCTCAGGATACAGAAGCCCTGTCTGTCCTAAGCTTTTTCGAATCTATAAACAGAATTTCAGACCGCATCTGAAGAACTCGTGCCATAAACGATTCCTCGTCCATACAGAGCTTTTTAGCTTCGTGGTTGGTTTTTATTTTGGTCCATTGCCCCTTCTAATCCCAACAAATACCCAGTGAGAGAGGCACTTCAGCCAAAATCATCATGTTTTGCAGGTAAAACAAGATGTCAAACAGCTGAAAATTCACAAAGCAGGACAGACCTGCAAGAGGATTCACATCTGATGCTCCCCTTGCCAGAAGTATGATTTAAAGTTGGAGACATATAGGTGAGACCCAAATTAAAATGCAGATTTTCAGCCTCCCAACTCAGAAACTCTGGTGATGAACTTTTATCAACACAGTATGTCAAGCAAGTTCCCCATGTGATTCTGAAGCCCATCAGTCTGAGGATCACCAGCATGAAGAATGAATCTTAAATCCAAAACAAGCCAGATAACCCATTTGTTTACCTGTCCTTCACGCAACACAGAACTTCCCAAGCAAATCAAGCAGCAAAGAATATGTGTGCTTCAAATTCAAGAGGCAGGTCAATGCACTTGGTCAAAGATACCCACAGTATCAGCTTCTCTCCTTACCAAGGTAACTTCTCAGTTGACAGCAGCCAAGAGTATCTTCACAAACTCCTTGCACTCCTGGAAGGTGTCTTCTTGTAGATGACCAATACATATGGTGTCAAATTCCTTCTAAAGGTATGTAAATTTCAAGGGAGGTATCTCACCATTAAGTAGGGGTGCAAACCTTGGCAAATCATCAGGTTAGGTTTACAGCTATCACCATGACTCTACATATCCTACAAAAAACTACCTTCTGCTCATTTAACTCTATTTCCAAATGAAAATAGCAAGTCTCCTTTTGACTCATTTTTAATGGCATAGAATTTTATAAGGGAGAAAAAAACGGCGACAATCTTAGATTATTTTATAGATTGAGATCGTGTTAACTGCCTTTGAAACATACTTTCAGGGCTGGGTACAGTGGCTCACGCCTGTAATCCCAACACTTTAGGTGGCCAAGGTGCATCACTTGAGCTCACAAGTTCAAGACCAGCCTGGGCAACATAAGGGGACCCTGTCCCTACAAAAAATACAAAGATTAGCCAGGCATGGTGGTGTGCACCCACCGTCCCCGCTACTCATGAGGCTGAGGTGGGAGGATCGCTTGAACTCAAGAGGTCAAGGCTGTAGTGAGCCAAGATCATGCCACTGCACTCCAGACTGGGCAACAGAGGAAGACTCTATCTCGAAAAAGAAGGAAGCAAGAACCACGCTTTCAGGAGAAAAAAAAAAAACCCTCCCCATGGTCATCTGCCAAGCACTGTCCGGCTATATTTCTCAGGAGGAAATGCCCTGAAAGGCTTCATAAGCCGACAGGCCAGGCCTTAGACTTCCAAGAGAAAAAAATCTCTTAAAGCAATGAGAATTTTAAAAAGCAAGAGGCTGTGAAATGTAATGTGAATGAAGAGAAAACAAAGTCAGCTTAGAAATAAGCACATCTTGCCGGGCGCAGTGGCTCATGTCTGTAATCCCAGCATTTTGGGAAGCCAAGGCAGGCAGACCAGGAAGTCAGGAGTTCAAGACTAGCCTGGCCAAGATGGTGAAACCCCATCTCGACTAAAAATACAAAAAAAAATTAGCCAGGTGCCTGTAATCCCAGCTACTCAGGAGGCTGAGGCAGACAATTGCTTGAACCAGGGAGGCGGAGGTTGCAGTGAGCTGAGATCGCACCACCGTACTGCAGCCTGGACAAAACAGCAAAACTCTGTCTCGAAAAAGAAAAGAAAAAAAAGAAAGACGCACATCTGAAAAAACAGTAAAGGATTAGAAAAGATCAGTCCTCATTGAACAAAGAGAAGCACTGGTTTCTCATCACTTGAACCTAACAGCATATACCCAGGGTAAGACAAATTTCAGAAGACATTATACTCTTGAAATACAGAATTTTATTTAGAAACTGTTTAAAGTAGAAAAAAACCCTGTCAAGAAAGACCAGGTGGAAAATGGGTTCCCAATAAAATGGAATTTTAGGGCAACGAAAGTCTAAAAGGCCACAAAAGAGAAATAGCACCACTGTCATTTGAACAATGGCTGGTTACTTGCATTTTTTGGCATTGTTAATCACTGAATCTGGGTTTTCCTCTGAATTCCACACAGAGCATGCACTACACAACAATTTTATCATAAAACACTTGCTTTCTACACACATTTTAGGACAAGCTACCACCAGAAACAAATCAATACAAATACATCAGGGGCTGAACAATCTCAGTAGTGGGTGAGACACATTTTGCAGAATCCTGCGAAAAAAGGAACTGAATAGGCTGTGGGCAAAGCAAATCAGGGAGAGCTAAGGAATGAAATATTTTAAATATTAATAATTAATTCAGACACGGTACTGTATTTTCTGCGAAAGAAAATTAACATTTAGTAACACACTAATGAATTTTATCTCCAAAGAGATTAGTGCACTGGCAAAGTATTCGGATTACAGTGGAGAGCTGTGGACAGCAGATCCCGAGAACACCCCAGCCTTGCAGATCCCAAGGTAACGATGGCCTTCACTGACCACTCCCTTTGCCAGAGGCCCAGAAAGAACCTGCAGCATGATCACCTGCCTGCTGCATTTCCAACTCTAAGCAGCAAACTTCAAGGAGCCAAAGAGGAGTCCCCAATGGGCAAGGGGACCAGAGAAGAGAAACGTGGTAAATGTAAACCCAAAAGACAGTAAGATGGGATACAATCGCCATTGAAATCCCAGAGATATGGACAAGTCCCAAAAAGTAGCTGTCAGATTAAACAACTGGGCACACCTCACTTCCCCAAAAACATAATACCTAGAAATTTCGGGGACAACTGGAAAAATAGAGAAATGCTCAATGAAAACCGAGCTCTTCAACTCAAACGTCGCAGGGCTGAAACACATCCTCTGTTATTACGGCAACGATGCCTCTTGCCTTTTAGCAAGGATGCAACTGGTCAATGACACCAAATGGCTTTACAGGGCAACTTTTTAAATGTTCCTTTTAGACCAAAGCCTAGGCCTGTGAGGATTCAAACAGCCCTGTAAGACCTGTGACAGCAGGTTCCAAAGGGTCCAAAGTCTGACCCTTCCTTCCCAGACACAATGTCAAATGCAAAATCTCCTGTCATGTACATTTTATATTTTGAAATATGGAAGCATATTTTAAATACTCTTAAGGCATTTATTTATTACAACATTCTCTGATTTCACATTAGCTTAAAATTCAATTCAGTCTTTACATTACTCCACTGAGGTCGCCGCCTCAGCGTATAACATAACCCCTCCTCCAGCACTCAGTGTGACCCGCATCCGCACAGTGAGCCCCACAGTCAGCCTCTTTGTTTCCCAGGTGAACCAACTAGATGTTAATACTGCTCTGCTACAAGGTAAAAGCTCCTAACTCAAACTTATTGGAAAAGGAGTGAAACGTCTGCAAAGTGCACTTTAAGAAGAGGTACTTTTTGCTTATGAAAAGAAACCAGTGAGTCCTCTAAGGATAATAAAAGGGAGTATTTTACAGTTAAGCACATGATTTGGAGTGAAGAATTCGGATGTTGCTCTGCTGGTCCAGGCTGTCAATACTCTTCCTGCTCCTCCTGTGGGCCCCCTTCATCAGGTATCACAAAGCCTTCCTGAAATGGGAAAATGAGAGGGAAAGCCACTGAAGATTCATTTCTACTGTGAGTGCACTTTTCTCATACTTGAAGCCTCTCAAAGACAACGGTTCATCCCAGCTCCACCACACACCTGGCATTTAATCACACAGGCCAGGTGACTGCTATTTTATTTCTCTGGTAGTGGAACTGGATCTCACCAAAGACAAAAACTGGGCACAATCAAATTTACCTCAGACTTGTGAAAGTGATGGATATGTACACTGTCTTCATTATGGTAGTAATTTCACCCATGCCATCAAATGTACAATTTAAATATGTGCAGTGTATTATGTCAGTTATACTTGTAAAAAAGAAAGAGAAGGCCAGGTGTGATGGCTCATACCTGTAATTCCAGCACTTTGGAAGGCAAGGCTTAAGCCCAGGAGTTCCAGACCAGCCTGGGCAACCCAGTGAGACATTATCTTAAAAAAAAAAAAAAAACTAGCCAGGCCTGGTGGCACATGCCTAAACTCCCAGCTACTCAGGAGGCTAAGGCAGGAGCTGCAGTGAGCCATGATCACACACCATCAGGCACACCAGCCTGGGAAATGACATGAGACCCCATCTCTTTAAAAAAAAAATAAAATAAAATTTTTACCCTCAAAAATCTCTGAAGTCCCCTGAGAAGTTCATTGCTCTAATGTCCTCTCTCAATAAACTGTCTATGCAGCCAGCTTTTCTTTTACACCTTCCTTTTGTTATACTTAGGAGCCATGCTTGACCCAAAATATTCACAACAGCAAGGCTGACCCAACATCAGTGGCAGAAAAATTGAGTGCACAAGGAAAGAGCAGATTCGATGGCTCCCACCTCATTCTCATCCGAGGGCATTCTGGCATGGACTCAGAGCAGGAAATTGCTATATACTATTCTGCTGTAAAAATTAGGCTTCTACTTCAACCTCCATCTTATTTTTATTAACTAAATCTCTATAGCTGAACTTAAGATGTGGCTCCACTAAAATAATACTCGGACTAAACCAAGGACCCCTATATCTTTGTTGTCTTTTTTTTTTTTTTTTTTTCATTATATAGCAAAGAGCAAGCTCTAAATAAAGATTTATTCATCAAATTATCAACTTTTCAGTCATCTGTCTTAATACCCTGAAATTCACAAGATACGTCTCAAGGACAGTGAAAATAACAGCACTATTACTACCTTATATTTGCATAGTGCTACACAGACTACAAATCGCTTGTCGTCTGATCCTACTATTTGTAGACTTTACTAGGCATGCAGAATTACAAACATGACCATTAAACTGTGGACACAGCCAGCCAGATACCAAATCTAGAAAAAAATGAATCTTTCCTGATCAATTAACATGTCATGATTAATATCAGCAGATTTGGCTCTGCAATAAACATGAATCCAAAGAAACCTGATCACGGAGTACTGTGAGGGAATAGGAACCGAGCAAATTCCTAGGAGGGAAGCAAAACGCATGCCCGGACATGACATGATATGGGGGCAAGTTGTGAAAAAGGGAGCTTGCGTCTGCTTCTCTGGGCATGCCTCGGGCCCTGATAAAACAGAGGCAGCACCTGAAGCTGAGGGATCCAAGCTATAGGAGGTGGGGTAGGAATTGCTCCTGGCTAAGAGCAGTTTGTGGCACACACTACAGATGCTGGGCAAGCCAGACACCTCCTTGTCCTATTCCTTCTTCAAAATCCCAGAGACCTCAGGCAGAAGCTAAAGCTGGGCAGAGGTGCCCTCTGGCTGACTTTGAGGGGTCAAAGATGAAGTCTTTTGATGAACACAACACTGGAATACAACAAGCATCAGCACAGAGCTTGCCAACCCAACTATGTAAAATGGAAAGAAAAATATCCTCATGTCAGCACATACATCTGTGGCATACAGAATGTCTACAATCCTCTGCAATACAGGGTCGTTTTCCCCCTCATTCTCCTGGCAAATCAATTCAATGTTCCGTAGCTTTCCGAAGTAGAAGTCCCTCTCTTTCTCCAAGTCTTCAACAGTAAGTTTCAATACGTTGACCTGCACAAGACGTTAAAAAGAGCGAGATGCCTGGCATTAGTATGGCAATAAAATATCAAACAGACTTCTAACCCAAAAGGAGATGTCGTCTTTGATCAAACTCCAACACAGACAAAAACCACTTCAGTTTAATGTCAATTTTCTTCAGCCTCAGAAAAACAACAGAGACTTGTTCGTGGCAACCTTGACAATAACAGCTCCCAGAAAGGGCAGACTACACCTTAACACATGCAGGCGCTTCTCAGGGACTGAAAAAGGATGAAGGAGAAAAAACTAGGGAAGCCTGAGACAATTACAGCCTGTCAAGGTGGCTGACAATCATAAATTGAGTCCTTACCAAGGGACTGGTCAGTCGAGTCCAGGTCTGATTGCATGAGGGGGTCAACGGACAGGACCCTGGAAAGGGCTCAACGGAGCTCCTTCAAAGCCCAATGGAAAGTGCGCTGATCCTCCATGAGCCCCACTGAGGGGCTCTGATTCCCCTTAAGAGGCTATAAAGAAATTAAGTCTCAATGCTTAGGCCAGGACTCTAGCCAAGAGCAATTAATGTTGTAACACTCACAGTCTTATGTGTACTTTAGCCATGGTGCATCTTCATTCCAGTGTATTCACATCTATGACAACTGAATTCAATTTAACTCTCACTGAATGCATGTTTCTTGGCATATCCTGCAGCATAAAACCCTCATAAAAACCTGTATTTACAGGCCAGGGCCATAGAGCAGCATGGAAAGTCAAGCAACAAAATTCAAGGTACAGCCTCTGAGAACAACCTCGGCAACAGGGAATGCTACAAGTCAGAGGGGACCAGAGAAGTCATCTAGTCCAGTCTTCTGAACTTACAGCCACAAAAACAAAAGCATGTCAGGTGTGCAGTGGTGCACACCTAACCTCAGCTACTCTGGAGGCTGAATTGGGAGAATCGCTTGAGCCCGAGAGTTAAAAGCCAGTCGCAGCCGGGCATGGTGGCTCATGCGGTCAGAATTCAAGACCAGCCTCGCCAAGATGGTAAAACCCCAGCTCTACTAAAAATACAAAAAAATTAGCTGGGCGTGGTGGCAGGCGACTGTAATCCGAGCTACTAGGGAGGCTAAAGCAGAGAACTACTTG